ACCATGCTCTTCTTTTTAAAGCTTCATAAACAATATTGCCAGAGAGAACTTTTCTCCACATGCACTCTTATAAACATGTGGATAATTAAACCAAAAACATTTCTTTTGTACATTTTAGATTTTAGAAAGCACATTAGGGATTTAACATCACTGCTGCACTTTTCTGTGCCATGTAGGTCAGTGAAGATGAAGGATGACTGAGATGTTTCTTAGCTTTATTTACTCCATCGACGGTTTCATTCCTGCACTCGTGTTTTTCTGTCCTTCCTCTCTGTATCTGTGCCTGCCGTTTGGTTTCCCTCTCACCTCCTTCTCTCTTTCTATCTCTTGTTCCCTGAGGAGCCCAGCTGGGAGAGGCAGATAAACACACTGGGGCACGGGGCTTAGCATCCACCCTCCTTCCACAATGCTACGCTCTCCTGTTCAAAGGCTCCAGCCAGAAATGAGAAGGGTGGGTTAAATCCGAGCTGAAAATCACAAACAGAGGAGGCAGTTGCAGGAGAGAAGACACAGAGAGCCGGAGATGCTTATCTGCGGGTCTTTAATTAAGAGGGCATAAATCATCTCTCAGTTCTCTGGTCACTTTTGAAATTATTTTGAACATGGTGGATATTCATACCACTTTAAAAACAGGCTAAATTTCAAGAGTGAGTTAATTCAAAGTTCTTTAGTACAGTTTTTTTTTCTGCAGTTGCTCCAGCTGTGCATCAAGTAAGCAGCATTCAATCTCCACCAAAGCTGCAGGAACCATGAAGAGATCAGAGTCGTCCTTTGATAATCATTTATGGGTTTTTCAAAAACATTGTTTTACAAAATTTAATAATTGTTAGTTCAGTCATGCAATCTCGATGTATAACTCCTTTGGGAGATGTGCACAGTTGGCTTTCACAATAAAAAAACATTTTTCATCACAAATGTGTTTATGTAAGTTCTTAAGCAAACACAACATACATTTGACATTAAATATTTTGACATTAATCTAAATGAAGTTACTGAATTGTATCCCAGAAAGTCTTTTTATCAACTATAGCTTTTACATTAAAAAAACATAATTTAAAGTTGCCATTTTTGTGCACTGATGAGCCTTTAATTGCACTCATTAATGTGTTCTTGCACAGCACAGAATATGAAATAATGTAAATAAACACCTGGACATTTTATTTTGCTTTCTGGGTTGGATTTATGCAAAGTGACATATCTATGAATGCTCATTTAAATTTGTGTTTTTAATTATTTAAATATGTCATCATTTAGCTGCCCAGGGACTGCAGGTGAAAATTTACATTTATGCTTAATGGCACCAAGCATCTACCCTGACTTTGCCTTGGACGTCAGCGTGTGAAAGATTGAAGAATAAGGTGGCATGTAGTAATTAAAAATGAGTGGTAAAATGTTTGAACAGAAGCCTGAAATGGGTGGAAGTCAGATTAGGAACAGCATGGGTGTGATCTAATTACAGCATTTGTTTCCAGATGAAGGATGAGCTGCTGCTTGTTCTGCAGCCTGCAGGCGCCGGCATGACAACATATCAAAACCGACGTTCTACGTATTACAGTAATCCAAAACAGACGTGATTGATTACAGTATTAGTAATGTAGAGTGTCGTATGTCCTTCATTTACTAAGAAGCTTCACTTGAGCAAAGTTTGTCTTGACGACTGAACCAACCTAGTGATGAAGCTGCAGCAATAACAGATTTGTCAGCACGTCAGTATGCTCACTGCATTAACTTTTATGACAATTTGATTCTCAGGTAATCTGTGGGTGGAGGCACTAGTTGCTGATGCAGATCTTGATCCTGGCACTCCCTGTGGAAAATGAATTAGTTTTGTAGATGGAGTGACAAACTGGATTTTGCTATTGCAAAAATTGTCTGCAAGTTGGTATGCCCTGCAACTAATATTTATGAACCCCAAGAACATTTTCACACATTCCTAGAAATCAGAGTCCATCTCAGTAACCTGATAGCACCCTCCAGAGGCTGAGGATCTTTTAGAGTAAGAGATGAAAATCTTCACCAGCTGCTGGCAAGCTGCGAGTCCAGCTGCCCGCAATATGGAAAAGGGGAGGTTCATGCTAACCAGGCATCCGCTCTGATTACGGTGATTATGGTTCTCAGATCCTTTGAGGCTGTGAGAGGTTTAGAGAGCATATTCAGTGTGTGTGTGTGTGTGTGTGTGTGTGTGTGTGTGCGCGTGTGTGTGTGTGTGTGTGTGTGTGCGTGTGTGTGTGTGTGTGCGTGTGCGTGTGCGTGTGTGCATGTGTGCTGCATGTTCATGTTTGTTGATATAAATTAAAACTCTTTCACTTAATTTTTACTGGTTTGTAGTATTTCACAAAAGGTCATTGTGAGCACATTAAGTCACTTTAAGTTGCAGTTAGTAACTTAAATCTAAAACTAAGTGAGATGGTGGAAAATCAGTCAGGCAGAGGAATAAATAAACATTTATGCAGTTTTCACACACTATTAAAACAATAAAAACTAAACCTAAAATGTGCAAGAGCATTTTCCTGAGTCTAAAGCATTGTTTTACTTATTATGTAACCTCATGTCCCACAGATACTTTTAACGCCTCGTAACTTTTGTTGTTGTTGTTGTTTTTTTCCATTGACCACAGATGCATCCCACCTTTTGTCTTTGGGTAATTGTAATATTTACTCAGCTTAAACAAAGGTGGAAAGAAAACCGTTGATGTTTCCAGTTAGTAGATGACTCACTGTCTACATCTAATAGAAGCCCATTAATGTGTTTAAGGAAAACTGCTAATGTGGTAAATGGTGTTCATATGCCAGAAGCAAATAAATGGTGTTTGTCAAATATACCATGTTGATGCGCCGAATTCAGCCTTTCAGCAGCTTTGTTTTGTCTCACTTTGGAGTCTGGAAGTTAGGAGTGAGCATTAGAAGTGGATAAAAAGTTCGTCAGATACAACAAAGAAAAATGAATGTATTGTTCTAAAAAACAGAAATGGATATTTAGGGTCAGGAAGGCCAAAACTACCTTTTCTTTTCCTTAATAGCAACAATATCGATATCGGCCGATGTTAGTCATTTTTTAACATATCGGTCCGATAAGTAAAACTGGGCCGATTTTAACAACCATTTTTTTCCATCTGTTTTCCATTTGTTTATCTGTTTTTTTTTTTTTGGGGGGGGGGGGGGGGTCGTAATTGTTTAGTCATGTGACAGTGATTGTAATCATCTCAGAAGTGCAAATGTGTGTGGTATGTGCACATGGTAACATAAATTCAGCTTTAATCATTTTCATTCTATACCAAATCTGCTGATTTTATAAGCATTAATGTCAGTTTATCGGTATCGGCAAATATCGGTTATTGTTCATAACAGTGATGTTGATATCAGATATCGGTATCAGCCTAGAAATTTCATATTGGTGCATAGTAATGTTTCTCAGCTTTTATCAACTGCATTGTTGTTGTTTTTGAGTACTGGATAAAAACCAATTCCCCTCCTTATGTCCTTTAGTGGTCCTAGTTGATTTGAGAAAAACTTTTCAAATTCTGTTGTAAAATTTACTTTTTTCAAAACAATGCCAACCTAGTAGCCTGGCCTGCCAGACTCCTCCTCTGTTTACTTCTGCACAGAGAAAGGGTCTGGGAACTCTCGTATTCAAATAACCCCACCCCGTGAGAATTCTAACCGAGCCAATCAGCGCTGAGCATTGTACACACACCACAACTCCGAGTTTGTCATAAACATGGTGACTGAAGTGGAGTTCGCTGCGGCTCTTTCCTTTGTTCTAAATGATTTGAACATGTCTTTAAAACCACAGCAAGTAGAAGCGCTAAAAGCATTTCTTCTAAACAAAGATGTTTATGCTGTCGTCAGACTCCATTTTTACTACAGCTAAAAAAACGACAGCGTCGCGGACTGTCACACACAGCGGCGCTCAGTTTCTCATAAACAACAAAGACAGCGGCGGAGTTTGCTGTGACTCTTTCCTCTGTTCTAAATAACTCAGATGTCTTTAAAACCACAAGTAGAATAGCTAAAAGCATTTCTTCTAAAAAAAATAAAAGATGTTTGCGCCGTTGCCAGACGCTTTTTTTTTTTTTTTTTTTTTACTACAACGAGAAATCTACCGCGTCGTGCGGTACAGTCGGGATTTCCGTCTTTTTTCTGATTGGTCATTTTTGAGCTGCCTAGTCCCGCCCCTCAAGTGCCTCTCTGCCTGTGAGTTACCAGACTCATTCTCTGTGCAGAATTAAACAGAGGACGAGTCTGGCAGGCCAGGCTACCAACCTAGCACTGGGGAAAACTGTACGTCATATTTTAAGACCTCGGTTTTCCAGTAGTGATGAGGCAGAATAAACTTTTTCTAACTGGATAAAAACTAACAAGATTCCAATTCGATTCTGTGGTTTCCAAGCCAATGTGCATACCACAATATTACCTTTGGGGTCTAGAGTAGATCCCAGGAAATAACAAAAATCCTGGCTTCATTGGTGATATTTGTGTTGTTCAACCATCCACGTTTTAGGTTGTAAGTCTTTGTAATTGTAGTGTTGTGGGTCAGAAGCTGGTTTGCAGTATTTCATGTTTGAAACTAAATTGAAGGACATTATTTGTGCTAGTCTACTGCCCCCTAGTGTTTAAGATGTACCGTCTCAATAATAATTTGCATTATTGAGGAAAAATTCCCTCTGAAATAAAGTTTTATAGTAACATTCACATTTTAATAGAAGAATAAAAATATTTCATAATATTGAGCTTAGATTTTCATGTAACATTGCTTAATTAGTTCCATATTTATGACTGTCTGTATTTGAACTCTTCAACATGGAGGTAATCTAATCTCCACATGCTGTAGGTGCAGTGTTGACTTCCTGCTGCTCAACCAGCTTAGTGTTTGACTACTTGATGGTTAATGTGGACTGATCTGGCTCAAATGTCATCATAAAGTGAAGTGAAAAAGTGATAATTTGATGCAGTCTGCTGTCTCTGTAGGACTTGGTGTGATGTTTGGTTTGTCACTTACAGCTCTTTGCCATCTTTGCCTTTGCGACATGTGGAGGCTACACGGGGCAGCTGAGGGTTAGTGTGGACTGCATGGAGAAGGCCAGCAGCAACCTGAGCATCCCAATCGACTTTTCCTACCCTTTCAGGTGGGTGGCACACATCCTTACACAATCCCATAGTCTCAGTCTGATTCCAGGATCGTGAACAGCCTCCGTGTGTGTGTGTGTGTGTGTGTGTGTGTGTGTGTGTGTGTGTGTGTGTGTGTGTGTGTGTGTGTGTGTGTGTGTGTGTGTGTGTGTGTGTGTGTGTGTGTGTGTGTTTCAGGTTGTACCAGGTTTCGTTTGAAGCACCAGCATGTGAAGCCCTGAGGAGGGAGCGGGTTTTCCTCACTGGAGATTTTTCTTCATCGGCTGAGTTCTTTGTCACCATTGCGGTTTTCTCCTTCCTGTATTCCCTCGCTGCCACTGCTGTCTATGTTTTTTTTTTAAATAAGTACCGTGAACACAGCCAGAGGCCACTCATTGTGAGTAAATATTTTTTCACTCGGTGTGACTTTTCACATCGATATAACAATAAGGAGAACACCTTCATGTTGCTGACTGTGCTCAGACTCTCTCTCTCTCTCTCTCTTGCTCATCTCAGGATTTTGTGGTGACAGTAGTGTTTTCCTTCATGTGGCTGGTCAGCTCCTCTGCTTGGGCCAAAGCTCTGTCTGATGTGAAGGTGGCCACTGATCCAGATGAGGTGCAGCTTCTCATCCCTGCCTGCAAAATCCAGAGTAATAAGTGTGATTCTTTGCACGGACCTCGCTGGTCTGGCCTCAACACCTCAGTGGTGAGTTCAAAATGCTTGGATTTTGAAAATAGGTCCAAATACACAACAATGTCTGTAAATAAGTGTTTTTACAAATGCGGATTTAGAAAAATGACATAAATGTTCCAGTCTTATATATGTTTATCTGTATAAACTCATTTTGGATGGTCATCACGCTTGAAATTTTTATTTTTAAAAAGGATCATTTGGGCATGAGGTATATTTTAATTTTTTACTTGGGCTGGCTGCCTTCCAATCGTCTAAATTATAATCATCAGAGTTCAGCTTACAGTCTTTGTATTTCTCCTAGTTGTCTGCAAAAGTCTACAGTAAAGACTATGTTTAAGAATATTTTAAAATACACTGTAAACTGAAGATTAAGGACTCTTTGAACACTGTAAAGGACTCCTTTGAAGCACCTCATTATTTTTATCTAGAGGTGCTATATAAAAAAAATCTTTGCTTCTTTTTCTTGATGACTTGAAGCCAGACGTCTGGCTGTAGATATTTTACTTCACTGATTTAACAATATTTATCATGTGTTTTTTTTTTTTTTTTGCTGTAACTTGTCCTGTTCAGGACATTCGTAAAAATAGATGTGATGGTTTTCTTTAATAAATAAATGTTTCACTTACGCAGAGACTAAAAGAAGCAACAACTCAGTTTTAAAAGGGACATATTATGCAAAGCTCACTTTTTGAATCTTTTCTTGCTGCCGTGTGGATCTCTACTGCCTTTATGAACACTCCAGACATCACAAAAACTTGTCCATCAATTTTTTTATGCATTTTCTTTTAGGAATTATGCGCCGAACACAAGCTTTTTCATAAAATCCCCATTTGTGATGTCACAAACAGGGAAATTAGTATAGAACAACCTCTGACGTGCAAGAAAGGGCTGCTGCTGGAGGAACAGCCGCTCTACTACAAACTCCTCCCAGATATCAGAGCTTCTCACTTTATAGCCATAGACATGAATACATAGATGCCCCACTAGGCACTGGAGAGCGTGACAGCGTATTGTGTCGGTTTCTCATTCTCCAAACCCAGTATACGGTTGCAACAACTGGTGCACTATTAAAAAAAGAAAGATCTAAACTGATCCTGCCTGTGTTAGGAAAAAACTGTTTCCTTATTTACTTCCCTATCTATATATCAGTTATGACTCTGAATGTTCCTAGGGAGTGGCAGACCGGGGTGGTGGTCCCCATCTTTAAGAAGGGTGACCTGAGGGTGTGTTCCAACTATAGGGGGATCACACTCCTCAGCCTCCCTGGAAAGGTCTACTCCAGGGTACTGGAGAGGAGGGTCCGATCGATAGTTGAATCTCAGATAGAGGAGGAGCAATGTGGTTTTCGTCCTGGCCGTGGAACTGTGGACCAGCTCTATACCCTTGCAAGGGTGATGGAGGGGGCATGGGAGTTTGCCCAACCAATCCACATGTGCTTTGTGGATTTGGAGAAGGCTTATGACCGTGTCCCCAGGGGCACCCTGTGGGGGACGCTCCAGGAGTATGGGGTGGGTGGCTTTCTGTTAAGGGCCATTCAGTCCCTTTACCAGAGGAGCGTGAGTTTGGTCCGCATAGCCGGTAGTAAGTCGGACCTGTTCCCAGTGAGGGTTGGACTCCGCCAGGGCTGCCCTTTGTCACCGGTTCTGTTCATCACTTTTATGGACAGAATTTCTAGACGCAGCCGTGGTGTGGAGTGTGTCGAGTTTGGTGGCAGGAGAATCTCGTCTCTGCTTTTTGCGGATGATGTGGTCCTCCTAGCTTCATCCAGCTCTGACCTTCAGCTCTTGCTGGGTAGGTTCGCGGCCGAGTGTGAAGCGGCTGGGATGAGGATCAGCACCTCCAAATCTGAGACCATGGTTCTCGACCGGAAAAGGGTGGCTTGCCACCTCCGGGTCGGGGGAGAGGTCCTACCTCAAGTGGAGGAGTTTAAGTATCTCGGGGTCTTGTTCACGAGTGAGGGTAGGAGGGATCGGGAGATCGACAGGCGGATTGGTTCGGCGTCTGCAGTGATGCTGACGCTGAGCCGATCTGTCGTGGGGAAGAGGGAGCTGAGCCAGAAAGCCAGGCTCTCGATTTACCGGTTGATCTACGTCCCAATCCTCACCTATGGTCATGAGCTTTGGGTAATGACCGAAAGAACGAGATCGCGGATACAAGCGGCCGAAATGAGTTTCCTCCGTAGGGTGGCCGGGCTCAGCCTTAGAGATAGGGTGAGGAGCTCGGACATTCGGGAGGGACTCGGAGTAGAACCGCTGCTCCTCCGGATCGAAAGGAGCCAGTTGAGGTGGTTTGGGCATCTGGTCAGGATGCCTCCTGGACGCCTCCCCGGGGAGGTGTTTCGGGCAAGTCCTGCCGGCAGAAGGCCCCCGGGTCGACCCAGGACACGTTGGAGAGGTTACATCTCCAATCTGGTCCGGGAACGCCTTGGGGTCCTGCCGGAGGAGCTGGTGGACAAGGCCGGGGAGAGGACGGCCTGGAGCTCCCTAGTTGGGATGCTGCCCCCGCGACCCGGACCCGGATAAGCGGAGGAAGACGAGACGAGACGAGACGAGACTCTGAATGTCCCCATGAAACATCTCTGGAATCTGAGAAAAATAACATTTTGGAGGTTTGAATGGCGATCCCACTTCAGGGCAGTTTTTGTGTGTGTGTGTGTGTGTGTGTGTGTGTGTGTGTGTGTGTGTGTGTGTGTGTGTGTGTGTGTGTGTGTGTGTGTGTGTGTGTGTGTGTGTGTGTGTGTGTGTGTGTGTGTGTGTGTGTGTGTGTGTGAGAGAGAGAGAGAAATTAAAATGAACAATCAAAATAATTTTTTTATAAAAAAATATAAAATTAATTCATTTAGATGTTTATTATCATGCCATGCATGATTTTTGTTAAAATGCATGATAAAATGTGTTTTTCAGTTGGGTAAAACACTTCCTCAGTAGAAATGAATGCACTGGGGCGAATGGGAACCCATCCAAGATAGTGGTCTGCTGTTACGCCAGCTCCACTAGGCAGCACCAGTCCATAGGGTGTCTATTTAATGCCTGTGCTTATAGCAGCCTGAGCGGTGGATGAATGGGCGTGGCCAGCTTCAGATTGTTATCTTAAAGTGACAGAGCCCTGAAATGGCTCATTCTGGAAGGTACTAAAACTGTCAACAATAAAACAGTTGAAATTGCTTCATGTGAGAGGGATTTAGGGCAAAGAACTTCAAGACATGTTTTGTATAAATCGTAGAACTATTATAAATCAAGATAAAAGTTATAAAAAATCCCCTTTAAAAAACAAATACAAGAAGAAATATGAATTCCTGCATTTCACATCAGAATTTTCAACTAAGTTAATTCAGTTGGGTTCAGGGCATGATTAATTAGGATTTAGGAACTAAAATGTGTGCAACCAAGCAGTTGACCTCCCATTTAAAGGGTTCCTTTACATTTTCCCCACTAAGAATAAAACATCTCCTTTCACTCTAGGTCTTTGGGTATCTGAACTTCGTCCTTTGGGCTGGGAACATCTGGTTTGTGTTTAAGGAGACCGGTTGGCACAAAGGCACATCTAGACTCTCAGGAGGTGCATCTGAGAAACAGGGTGGCACTTTCACCCAGCAGCCTTACAACCAGGGAAGCTTCGACCAGTCGGGGGGTTACAACACCCAGGGAAGCTTTGACCAGCCGTCTGAATACAGCCAGGTGGGAGGGCCCACCTCCTACTCTAATCAGATGTAGCTGTGCCTTGTCTTTTTACAAGCGGCACTTCTGCATCTTCAAAGGAAACCAGGGCTCGGGGAGAGGAGGCAGGTAGAGTTTATCATTTGTTGACAAAAAAATAAATAAAAAATGGTTGTTAAACAGTTTCAGAGTCCTCTCATTGTGGATATTGTTGGGTATTATATTTTATCCTCCCACTTAAGGGGTCATGTTTACTGAATATTGTATTTCTAGTAGTTTGAAACACTTTAGTAATGGTTCCTCTAATGATGTCTCTCTCAGCTAGTTTGCACTCTGTAAGCGAGGAACAAAGTGCTCTTTGTATACGTTTTAAAGTGCATGATGTTTTACTGTTTTTGTGCCACTGAGCTCTTTGGGAAATGATAAAAAAATAATAAAACATGCATTTTATGTGTGAAAGTTTACACAATCTACTCTGCTCTGACACATCACTGATAGCTTATCAGGTAATCTTTTTATTCTAACAGGAAAGACGTTTTGATAATGAAGATTTCTAATTCTGATTAGCTTCAGGAATTAAACTGATATTTCTTTGAGCTGATGCTGACATGTTGTTTTTAAGAATGTCAAAATGCCCATTAAATTAAAAAAACATTCCAAATGCATTTTGCAGAATACATCGCAAAGGGTACAGTAAAAGGAAAATGTATATGCAACCGCTGCAATTTCTGTTTTCATTGATTCCTCTTTTTTTGCATAGATGCTACATAACATAACATAAATGGACATTTTCTCTTTGTGTTCAAGAAGCCACTCTTACATGACTTTCTGTGCCTCCCTGTGTCTATTTTGACATTTTAAATGTGAGATTTATGTTTGTAATGCATGTTCAGAACATTATCTGTAGTTAAAGCCCAGCAAAAAGTACACAGCAACCACAGTTATAATAGAAACATAGAAAAATGTGAGTTTGTCTTTACATAAGTGAGAGTTTGTACAACAAATGTGGAGGTGATGTATTGTAAACTCATGATCATTGGATGAAATGTGTTGTTACCTTTGATTGAATTGATCCCCTAGCAGTGTGTTTTTGACCCTGTGTCTGTGACTAGCATCTGTAATAGAGTCAGCTGAACGTTCATGTCTGTGTAATAATCTGCCACCTGTGACTTCTGTGCACAGGTCCATGAGTGTGGATGATATTTTACAGGATGTCTATCTAATAAACATGTTTAAATTTGCACCTTTGGCTCTTTTTGTCATTGTTCCAAATTCGATTTTTTATTTTTACTTCTTTTTTTTTTGGCCTCTAATTTACGAACTGTTCCTTAAAAAAAATCTGATAGGTGATTCTATTAAAATGATTTAATTCTGTTGGTCATTACCTGATGTGACAAAAGTATTCATATTCATTACTCAGGTGGATGTATAGATACTGGAGTGTAAAAATACTTGTGTGCATTTTGAAGTATTAATTAGAGTTTTTTTTTCCTTTAAAGGAGCAATTAAAAGGTGAGATAACCAAAAAACAGTCTAAATGTCTCAATCATGTTGGAAGGAAGGCTACATTGAAACAGATTTCTTTCTCAGCAGGCTGGGGGGATGCCAAATGTTCTCCTTTTAAAAGACTAGAGGGACGTATTTACTGTTTACAATCTGTGAGCCCATGAGATTGCCAAACCTGAGCAGAGCTAACGTTGCAGCGCCGGCAATTGTAATTAAACACGGGCCGGTAAAAAGCTCCAAAGTTGTTTAAAGAACCCAGTAAACTAGAGTGACCCAGAAGTGTGCTGCAGTACCCAAATTTAACCACAGGATGTAATTTTTACCTCATTTTTACAAATTGCACCTTGAAGTAAAAGTAGAAAAGTACAATAAAAGATGTGATAATCATTCAGTTGAGGGTTTGATAGTCCTGGTGCGTTCTTTTTCACAAATAACAGAAACTGGTCAAGGTGTGTCATCAGAGAGGAGAATTACAGAGAAAAGCTGCAGGATTACTGAAGCTCATGCCTAGGGTAAGTTATGTAATAAAAATAATGTTACTCAATTTTCTGGTGTCAAGATGTGGAAAATGTAGTCAAAACTGCACCACTGGTGACCTGGCTTGCAGACAGGTGTGGCACTGCAGCTTGTGAACAGGTAGCTCCACCAGCAAGTGAAGTTCTTGATGGAAAACACCAACCCACTGAACCACTAAGATAGAAAATAATTTACAAACTGTTCCTTAACCCTCTCAGGCTCAAAATAAGTTTTGATAAAAGGACCAACAACTAAGTCCTTCAGGGGTACTTCTGAGTTAAAAAATGCTCATGAAATACGTGTGTGGACTAACCAGGTAGGTAGGTTTTAACATTGCAAATCTGCAACGCCTGCCTCCAGAGGGTTAAAAAGATTTAATTCTGTTGGTCATTACCTGATTACCTTATAACAGAAACTGGTCAAGGTGTGTCATCAGAGAGGAGAATTACAGAGAAAAGCTGCAGGATTACTGAAGCTCATGCCTAGGGTATCCTGGAAACAAGTTATGTAATAAAAATAATGTGACTCAATTTTCTGGTGTCAAGATGTGGAAAATGTAGTCAAAACTGCACCGCTGGTGACCTGGCTTGCAGACAGGTGTGGCACTGCAGCTTGGGAACAACAGGTAGCTCCACCGGCAAGTGAAGCTCTTGACAGAGAACACCGTCGTTGTCTTCCTCTGCTTATCCGGGTCCGGGTCGCGGGGGCAGCATCCCAACTAGGGCTCTCCAGACCGTCCTCTCCCCGGCCATCTCCTCCAGCTCCTCCGGCAGGACCCCAAGGCGTTCCCGGACCAGATTGGAGATGTAACCTCTCCAATGTGTCCTGGGGCGACCGGGGGACCTCCTGCCAGCAGGACTTGCCCGAAACACCTCCCCAGGGAAGCGTCCAGGAGGCATCCTGACCAGATGCCCAAACCACCTCAACTGACTCCTTTCGATCCGGAGGAGCAGCGGTTCTACTCCGAATCACCCCCGAATGTCCGAGCTCCTCACCCTATCTCTAAGGCTGAGCCCGGCCACTCTACGGAGGAAACTCATTTCGGCCGCTTGTATCCGCGATCTCGTTCTTTCGGTCATTACCCAAAGCTCATGACCATAGGTGAGGATTGGGACATAGACTGACTGGTAAATCGAGAGCCTGGCTTTCTGGCTCAGCTCCCTCTTCACCACGACAGATCGGCTCAGCGTCCGCATCACTGCAGACACCAAACCAATCTGCCTGTCGATCTCCCGATCCCTCCTACCCTCACTCGTGAACAAGACCCCGAGATACTTAAACTCCTCCACTTGAGGTAGGACCTCTCTCCCGACCCAGAGTTGGCAAGCCACCCTTTTCCGGTCGAGAACCATGGTCTCAGATTTGGAGGTGCTGATCCTCATCCCAGCCGCTTCACACTCGGCCGCGAACCTACCCAGCAAGAGCTGAAGGTCAGAGCTGGATGAAGCTAGGAGGACCACATCATCCGCAAAAAGCAGAGACGAGATTCTCCTGCCACCAAACTCGACACACTCCACACCATGGCTGCCCCTAGAAATTCTGTCCATAAAAGTGATGAACAGAACCGGTGACAAAGGGCAGCCCTGGCGGAGTCCAATCCTCCCCGGGAACAGGCCCAACTTACTACCGGCTATGCGGACCAAACTCACGCTCCTCTGGTAAAGGGAATGAATGGCTCTTAACAGAAAGCCACCCACCCCATACTCCTGGAGCGTACCCCGCAGGGTGCCCCGGGGGGGGGGGGGGGGGGGGGGGGGGGGCAAGCTTCAGAGACGATATAAAGGACTGTTTAGGGTTCTCGAGCAGGTGACAGATGTGCTGTACAGACTGGTACTCGTTGAGGGGGGTCCTGAGAGTGCGATTCACTTCAGCCGACTTAAGCCGTGTACTTCTCTTCAAACAGTTGCAGCACCAATGGCGGTGGGGTGCCGAGAGAGAGCGGGGCAGAGAGTCTGCATCAACGGGATGCCACCTGGGAAAACACCAGCAGGGTTGATCAACGGTCTGCAGAAACGAGTGGTTCCAGTGACTCAAGTGACCCTGCCCCATCATCTCCCTGGGAAGGTTGAGGGACATGGAGCTGTGGAACAATGCGTGGTTCGTCAGAGGAGACCCTCCGCTTGGTTCAAGGATTATCACATGGATGTTTAGGACTCGGGGGCGAGTCCTTCAGGTCAAGAAGGGGGAGAGTGTGGAAGACAGAAGACGGGAGTTGACAGATTCTGGGGGCGTGGCGACTGGACGCCGGCTGGTGCTTGTCAGGTGTAATGAGGCCGGAGAGGAGAAAAGGGTGGCAGATCTACCAAGTTGTGTGTGTGGTCGACCTGTCATTGTGGCACCCGGTTCTGGGGGGTTGGGATTGTTCGCAGTTGGTTAGGACTGCCGGTGATGAAGACAGCTGAATAGGTGGGCAGTGATCCAGCACTAGGAGGGGAGCCTTAACGCCTTCTTTAGGAAGTGAGAGCTGGGAGTAGTTGGGTGCCGAGTCCACGCCGACATCTGCCGCCGCAAACTCTGGCAGCCGAACCTGAGCCGTGGACTTACCCACCGTCCTCGCAAGCTGAACCCCGGAGCGTTGGACGGTGTCAGAAGCTCATACCCCGGGGAGGGGGTCGTATTGACTAGGCCAGCTAAGTACCCACTTGCTTGATTTTATTTATGCTGAACAGCTGGTTTTATTGTGAAGAGACTCAGCTGTAGTGTTTTATTGTTGGGTGTGTTAATAAAGGATACTTTTGATAAATTGCTGCCTTCTGGTGCTGTTTTTGGGTTCTGACTGGAGAGGGTAAGATATTCTGCCCGTGCTCCCACTGAAACTTATATTACAGGTGCTTTCTGAGCTGAAGAGCTGCCCACTAGGGGGCCCATGTGGGCAGCCCAAGGAAGGGGAATAAAATAGGTCTAACAGAAAAACACCAGGGAGACATTCATTATACAGCAACTGACTCAGCTATCGAGCACAACACATACACCACTAAGATGATCCATTAAAATAATTTATTTTGGATGTGGAGTTACTCCACCCTTTCCCTTTTTTTCCGCAAGTCTATGCACCTCTCTCGTGCTCGCTTCAGCATCTCCTCAAGTATGGGGTGCGATGATTATTCATGTGCTCCAGATGCTTCTTGCTGACCCACGAACAGCCACAGTAACATTCTCAAAGTGGCGCCAGCAAAAGCAAATAACTAACAACATGCAATTGTCCGTTTCTGCTCATATTTTCTACATTCTGTCGTTTATTTGTGTCAGCCTCAGCAGAGCTCGTAACCTACACTCCAGTGATTTCACCTCTCTGTTGTGGCTGCGACACTTTGCTATTTATTTTTTGCCGTCGGTGGATCGCGTTGAGCTGCTCAGTTCAAAAGCAGCTCATGAGATGAAAAAGTCGCAAAGCCTACACTTTGTGCCCAGGGGACTTTACCATCATAATGTCACAACTTTATTTTCATTCGACATTCTGACAGGAAGACAGTGAAGTTCCATAAACAGGCAGAAAAACACCCAAAATGGAAAATATTAAAAAATAAATTGTATAATTAGATTATTTTCTTGAGAGTATCACACTGTCCCGGGGTTTTAGCACTTGTAGATGAACAGTGTATAAATCTTACTTCTCTAGTATGCCACTGTTCCAAGTCCTCCCATCTGCTCCAGCTGTGGCTCTCACTAAACAACCACTGTTGCCCTCTTGTGGTAAAAAGATAAAATAGTCAGACAAAAATCCAATTGTCTGTTCATGTTGACTGTTAAGCATCTCTTTATGTGTTCACGGTTTCATACCAAGCTGTTCGGCACAAAATAAACAAAAACTTAAATATAATTTCTGAATTATACATCTGAGTTCGAAAACAAAATAAAAAAACTTGCACAAAGAAGTGAAATTTGAATCGAGCATGTCAGTGAATGTAATGGTCAAATTAAAAAAGAGCAGAAATCTTGGTAACATCAATAGATCTGCATCCAATAGATCTACAGTAGGTCAGAAGGCCTCACTGGCCCTGAGTAACACTCATCTTTTTTATTATCAATGATGAAATGCAAAGTTTCAGGGAGGAATGAAAGGAGATACCAGACATGTATTTGCTTTGTTAACTTCGGGCAGCTATGCCAGAACTCCTCCATAATACTGATAACGTATGGCACAAGAGAAGTCACAGAAACTGGCACATAACTTAAAATTTCCTGGAAATCTATGATTAGGATGCTCATCCAGAAGTTCATCACCAAACAAGAAACCGTCAGCTTGGTGGTGGTTCCCAGCAACGTGGACATAGCCACCACAGAGGCACTGAAGATAGCTCAACAGGTGGATCCTGATGGAGAGAGGACTCTGGGTAAACGCAAGTGACTTTATAGAAGGACCCCAAAGCTCTTTGATGTCTCTAGTCTTTAGGCATTCTCTTTGTCTCTCTTTAAGGGATCCTGACCAAACCTGACCTGGTGGACAAAGGCACAGAGGAGACGGTGGTGGAAATAGTCCACAACGAAATCATCCAGCTGACGAAAGGCTACATGAAATGCAGGGGTCAGAAGGAAAATCATGGAGAGGATGTCTCTGACTGAAGCTATAGAGAGGGAGAAGGCTTTCTTTAATGATCATGCATACTTAAAGTAAGATCTTAATTATTTGTATTGCATTGAACATTGAAAGTATTTCTTCATTTGAGACTTTTTTGCAGCGTTCTTTACAATGAAGGTCATGCTACTGTTCCTAAACTAGCTGAGAAACTGGCCCTTGAGCTGGTGCATCACATTGAGGTGGGTAATTATTAACTTACTTATCATCACTAGTTTGTTATCAGTCAGGTGTTTGACTCCTATTTTGTTTTGTTTAGAGAGGTCTCTGCCAAGACTGGAAGAGCAGATAGAGGAAAAAGTCAAACAGACTCTCAGGCGGAGCTGGACCGATATGGAAATGGACCGCCAACTGATGCAGCAGAGAGACTCCTCTTCCTGATCGATGTGAGCTCCCTAACTCTAGCATATCTGCCTTATTACCACTAAAACATGTAACGTGTGTGTGTTTCAGAAAGTGACCACGTTCACTCAGGGTGCCATCAGCTTGACCACAGAGGAGGAACTGAAATGTGGAAAGAGACTCAACATTTTTGCCGTGCTTAGACGAGAGTTTGGGAAATGGAAGGCTCACGTGGATTGCTCAGGAGATAACCGTCAGGATTTTATGAGAAACACATTTCACACAAATGATTATCAGCATCATTCGTGACGAATACTTTTGCAGTTAAAAAGAAAATCGAAAAAGAGGTGGAAGAATATGAGGAAATGTACCGTGGGAGAGAGCTACCGGGCTTCATCAACTACAAAACCTTTGAGGTGATGGTCAAGGAGCAGATCAAACAGCTGGAGGAGCCGGCCATCAGGAAACTTAAAGAAATTGGAGGTAAACGTGGGCCGTTCTCATTGCATGGGTGTAACGTTTGACTGGTTTTGTGATCAAGCTGGAATGAAGAACCACAGGATGGACTTTAATAAAATCTTAAGGTGATTAACCTTTGGAGTTCATCTACTGCAAGATCTGGTAATATTGACCAATTATCTGTCATTACTTTCTCAGCGTAAGATGAACTTAGTTTAAAGCTCAAGGGTGAAGGGTGGAGGACGATATGTATCCCATCAAGAGATGCTAAATCTTTATTGGTTGAGCTTGTTGATCTCTTTCTAGATGCTGTCAAGAGGATGTTCATACAGCTAGCCCAGATTAGCTTCACAGGATTTCCTAACCTTTTGAAAGCAACCAAGGTAATGATTTAATTTAGCTCATAAAGACACCTTTACAATCTTGGCCTTTGTATTTTAAGGCAAAGTTCAAATTGAGAAGTCTCTTTTTAGGCAAAGATCGAAGCCATCAAGCAGACAAGTCTTTTGCTGAGACTACGCCGAGGACTCAGTTCAAAATGGAGCTGCTGGTTTACTCCCAGGACAAGACCTACAGTAACAGCAACGCTGAGAGCAAACAGGATGGAGAGAAGGGTGAAAATGAATCCTTCAGAAGATGAAACCTTATGTACTGCAATGACAATGATGCATCTTAAATCATATTACAGAGTATGTTTTAACATTATCAGAGAAAAAGCCTTCTTCAACTCAGGGTAGGGTTGCCAACTCCCTGAAAAATAAATAAGGGACACCTCGCGGGCAGGGCCGGCCGCTCCAGGCCACCCTTCCCAGTGTGGTGATTTTTTTTGCTCTTTTTTTGTGTGTGTGAAAGGATTTTTTTTTTACTATTTGACTTGAAGTTGGTTTAAGAAGATGCATATTCTTTGTGATATGAAAACATGGGAAACAAATGATCATTTAGCCATTTATTTATGGCGTGAAATTACAAAATTATTATAAGTAACAAAGGTCTTTTTCTTAAACAGAAAACTGTTATGCTCAACTTTTTGTGCAAAATGACAAAAAAAAATAAAATAAAGCAGGTCTCTTTCTTAAATGGTAGCCTGTTATGCTTTACTTTTTAGAATATAAATAGCTCTCTTTAAAACAACTCTGTTCTGCTTAACTTAAAATTGTATAAATTAATAGAAAACAACAGAAAGAGCAACGCTGTAACTGCACATTGAGTGCAATAAGAAAAGTGCAAACAGAAAGTCTGTGGAGAAGCTGTAAACATATTTGTGCCTCAAAGGCCTTGACTGTAGCCTACGGTTGAAGTAAAAAAAAAAGTCCAAACTCATGAACTCAAAAGCTCAGTGCTACATTATGTGAAAACAGACTATTTTCTCCATTTGTATTTCTTTTGAGATCTTGCTGCATTTAGGAGTTGTCTTTCAGTACTGCAGAGTAAAACTCTGAGCAAGACATGTCACAATTTAGAGTGACAATGAGCTCACATCTAATTATTTCAGTAGAACATTTGTTCCGCACATCAGTCCACTTATTCTTCATGAGAGAGAAAATCCTCTCTGCCAATCCAGTGGAAGATGGGATGCTGAGTACAAAGGATACAACAGGCTGGATGTTGGGGAGGTCAGCTGCCTGAAGAATTTCTATACACTTCTCTGCTGTTCCCTTGGACTGCCACTTTTTCTTCTCCTGAGGTCCTTTGGTGAGGTGCTCTAGAAGGCTGGTTGCAGTGACACACTCGTCATAAAGCTCATCCATAGAGATGTTTAACCTGCCAATGGAGATAAGAAGTAAACCTGGGTTATAAGCACCACATAGAACACTTACAGTGGTAAAAAAATGGAAAACATTTATTGTATATTTATTGCATTGTATAGCGTTTATACAATACAATAGTTCACTTTATTTATTATGTATTTATCCATCCTTTATAGTTTAAAATTATCCAAACAACATATAAACCAAGACAAGGCTACATCGAAACTAAACACCCAAGTTGAAAAAAAAATAATAGAAAAACTAATGACAAAACAAGACAACAAAAATAATAGTAAACAAGCCCCAACACAGTGGTTTTTTTTCTTCATATAAATACCTTCACTTTAACCAGAGGGTTTAAAAAAGCAATGTTTACTTACCATATCTGCTTCTGCCGTGGCCTTGTGGACGACAAACGGATCGAGGGTTCCCCGCGCTTTCACGTCCTTTATGTTTTTCATGTGGCTACTACTAGAAGCATGTTGCTTGAGGTCAGTCAGTCCACCATGCCCTATGGAAAAACTGCGCCGGTACACGGTGCAGTGCGCTTTATAGGTGTTATCGCGCAGTTTTTCCAGCCAGGAATTTTCCTTTTCCCATTCCTCCCTGTATTTTTGAAGCCTTTTTTCTTCTTTCTCGGAGGGGTACTGTCGTCCGAGACTTGTACAGCAGTGTCGGCGTTTGTTTCCCTGTTGGCCATGCTGTTTGCTGTCGACTGTTTTCTTCCGGTATCTTCTCCCCAAGCGACCGTTCCTCGACCAATGAAATAAGCGGTAATCTGTATCGTCATATTCGTGTGTAAGCATGCGGTCAGCTCTTTGGTCACAGAGCAGGTGAAGGGCTGGCTTTCAAACAAAGCGTTAATTCCGGTAATAGACTACAGACTAATTTTGATCCATACTATATTACGGGACAAAGTGCGTCCCTTTTGAGTTTAATACGGGACGTGCACTTTTGGTTCTAAATACGGGACGATTCCGTTTTTCAAGGGACGGTTGGCAACCCTAACTCAGGGTGAGCCTTACTGCTCCTTCCTCCTGCAGATTGCTAGCATGCGCCTGGCAGACCAGATCCCGCTGGTGATCCGCTACCAGATGCTGCAGGAGTCTGCCACTGAGCTGCAGAGAGAGATGCTCCAGGATAAGGAGAACATGGAGCTCTTGCTGAAGGAGGACTTTGACATTGGCAGTAAACGAGCAGCTTTGCAGAGTTGACTAAAGCACATCCTGCAGGCCCAAGCGTACCTGGTAGAGTTCTAGACCTTAAATCCCTTTTCTGTTGTAGCATGCATGATGTTGTTCTAGACTTTATGGTTCGGTTAAAACAATTTACAGGGGTTTGCAACAAAGTACATAGTGATCATTCACATAGGAAGTCAGAGGCTTTCTTTCATTGTGGTTTATTTACTACATCAGTAAATTTTGGCATTCATTTTTAAATAAATGAGCAAAACCATAATTCTTGTTACAGACGTCTTATTCTCAGAAGAATGTAATTTTGTGAACTTTAAATCAGAAACTAATTGATAGTTTGATATGAAAAAATGATAATTTAGTATGAAAAAAATGATAATTGGGTTTAATGACACTTAGATTTTACAAGTATTCAAACTCTCACTTATAGTGCAGAAACTTCCAGAGAAAATACAGCACATATGAATGTTCAACAACTGTTCTGTCCTTGACTGACGCGTATTAAATTTCTTTTCTGATCAGAGTTTCAGTTGATTTTCTTAAAAGCCTGGAAGCTTTGGTTACATTTTTACTGAGATTATTGTAATGAAAAGAGAATATAAGAATTAAAGATATACTCCAAGATGACAGCTTTATTCAAAAATACATACAAAAAAGGATTCTTAGACAAACTAAATTTCAATTAAAAGCTGTGACTCCTTCAGTTGGGCTCTTTATGTGTTCAATCCCCATTCTCCATGGGACTCTCCTGACTGTGGTCGTCACTATCTGACTTTTCATCATCTAGGAAAGACAGGATAGACGATGAGGGCAGCTCTGACAACAGTTTGTCTGTATAACCAAGTGGCTACTTACTTTCTAGTGTCTGCTGCAGCTCCTGAATGGTAGTAAGAAGAACATGAAACTGCTTCTTCCTCAACTCCAACTAAAGAGAATGCAAACATGGCATAAAAAGTCAGTAAAAATACAACTAAATCTGATACTTTAACAACATTAGGCCGCTGTGTTTGAGTTTACCTTTGCATCTACGTTCTCTTTGATGTGAGACAGTTGCTGGAGTTCTTTATCGAGTGCCTCCAACTGCCTGGAAGGTAAAACAAAAATGAGCACTTTATTGAACATGAAGGGGAGCTTGACATGTTTTATCGATAGGCTGACTTACTGGAGTGTTTCATGTCTGTCTGGGTGTTGCTGGATTACCTTTGCTAAAGCATCATATTCTTTGGAGAGACAGAGAACAGATACTTAAAAAAAAGTTTACATCCTTTTGACAACGCACATTTGATACCACATCTGGTAATTTTTCTGTAAATACAACAGATGTTAAAATGTCCTTACCCTGGCGATTTTTTCGTATTCTCTTGGCCCGCAGAATTTCTTTTTTGCATTCTGTGATCTTCTCATGTGCAGATGTGATGTTTTGTTCTGCGAGGTGCGAAAGAAAAAAGTTTGATTAGTGTTAATTGGGCGATGGTGGCACAGGAGTTAAGTGCTCGCCCCATAATCAGAAGGGTGCAGGTTCGAGCCCCGCTCAGTTGTAGCTACGATGTAGCTCATCACCACCAGTGTGTGAATGTGTGTGTAAATGTCTGATTGTGTTGTGTTGTAAAACGCCATGGGGGGTTCCAGGACTAGAAAGCTCTATAAAATACAGGCCATTTGCCATGTATGACTAAAAGAATTAACAAAAAATTCTGTGACATTGAAAACAAAGCCGATCTTACCTATGTTTGCGTAGATCTTCTCATAATTCTCCATTTCACGAAGATTCATGTCATAAACCATCAACGTCTTTCCCATAGAAAACTCACACTGAGCCAGAGTAGCCACCATCCTCTGGTACTGAGTGAATCTACACACAAAGAGCCCAATGTTCAGCATTTCACTGCAGTTGTGTACTCGGCATTCAAGATGTTACAAGCAAAAACTGGAGACAGATATATTGCTAGCTCGTACCCTTCTTCTAGGGTCCCAGAAGGTGAGTTGCACCACTTGGTGAAGCTCTTCAGCAGCAGATTGATTCGGCGGTCATCTCCAGCTCCGTCACCGTCAATGAGAAGACGTTTTCGAATCACCTCATCTGTGGAACATGCAATAAAGCAGCTCAAGAGCGTTGAAAACATAATGCATCTATGCTAAGTGTGCTAGCTAACGTCGCTATTACAGGTAGCATTTCTGGGTATTTTTTCCAGATAATAAGGCGCAATTTACAATGTTTTAAACTTAGACGAAAACAAAAGTAAAGAGTAACTTAAGTGCTGAAATTAGTTAATGATAAAGCCACAAACCATCAGTTACAGCTCCCATGTTGCTGTTTTTCTTCTTCTACTACTTCCGTTCTACTGGTACTGATTGTTCTTATTTTGTCTTTAGGCAACTCAGACACAGCTGAGCTCGTTACTGCCTTATCTGGTAAGAGGACGTTACTGCATGTTGTGATCTTTTCGCTTCATCTTCGTTAAATACAGTAATGTGGATTTTAAGTATACAGTGATTACAGTGATTATGTGACACAGATATTTAGTTTAAATGCAATTTAGTAATACCGTTAGGTTTTTTTTTATCACACAATCAATTACAAATTACACAATCAAGTGATGAAATTGAATTACAGTAGAATACATTTTTCAAAGGCAAAATGAATGCTGTAATCACTTTTTGCTGTGTAAAAAAACGCCTCAATTATGTATGAGCAAAGCCCTGCTCATAAAAACAGCATATGTTGTGTTTGGTGCTGGTTTAGTGGTAGATCAGCATAAAATGCTGGTCTAGCATGATGGTCCAGCATCCAGTCACCAGCTTTCCATACTGGACAGGCATTGTACACATCTTTTAACACAAAACCCTAAACTTTTGCAGCTGTTCAAAAATAAGCACTTTCTTGACATCAAAACGTGTCTTTAAAATTCACAGACATATATGTGAAATATATGGCACATATCAAATAGGATTAGATTAGGATTAGAAAATAGCCTCTCCCTGGGCTGCCACCTTAGCGTGGTGGAGGGGTTTGAGTGCCTCAATGATCCTAGGAGCTAAGTTGTCTGAGGCTTTCTGCCTCTGGTAGGGTCACCCACGGCAAACAGGTCCTAGGTGGGGGATCAGACAAAGAGCAGCCCGAAGACCTCGTATGATGAATTATATAAATGGAAACCGTGTTCCCTCACTCGGACGTGGGTCACCGGGGTCCCCCTCTGGAGCCAGGCCTGGAGGTGGGGCACATTGGTGAGTGCCTGGTGGCTGGGCTTTCACCCATGGAGCCCGGCCGGGCACAGCCCGAAGAGGAAACGTGGGTCCCCCTTCCCATGGGCTCACCACTCGTGGGAGGGGCCAAAGGGGTCGGGTGCAGTGTGTGATGGGTGGTAGTTGAGGGCGGGGACCTTGACGGTCTGATCCTCGGCTACAGAAGCTGGCTCTTGGCACATGGAATGTCACCTCTTTGGTGGAGAAGGAGCCTGAGTTGGTGTGTGAGGTTGAGAGGTTCCAACTAGATATATTCGACTCACCTCTACGCATGGCTCTGGCTCTGGAACCAGTTTCCTTGAGAGGGGTTGGACTTTCTACCACTCTGGAGTTGCTCCCACTGAGAGGCGCCGAGCAGGGGTGCGCATACTAGTTGCCCCCCATCTTGGTGCCTGTACTTTGGAGTTTTCCCCAGTGAATGAGAGGGTAGCCTCCCTCCGCCTATGTGTGGGGGGACGGATTCCGACTGTGGTCTGTGCTTATGCACCAAACTACAGTTCAGACTACCCACCCTTTTTGGAGACCTTGGAGGGGGTGCTAGAAAGCGCTCTTTGCAGTGACTCCCTCATTCTGCTGGGGGACTTTAACGCTCACATGGGCAATGACAGTGAGAACTGGAGAGGTGTGGTTGGGAGGAACAGCCCCCCTGATCTAAATTTGAGTGGTGTTTTGTTATTGGACTTCTGTGCCAGTCATGGATTGTCCATGATGAACACCATGTTCAGACATAAAGGTGTCCATATGTGCTCTTGGCACCAGTACACCTTAGGCCGCAGCTCGATGATCGACTTTGTTGTTGTTTCATCTGACCTGCGGCCGCATGTCTTGGACACTCGGGTGAAGAGAGGGGCGGAGCTGTCAACTGACCACTACCTGGTGGTGAGTTGGCTCAGATGGTGGAGGAGGATGCCGGTCAGACCAGGCAGGCACAAACATATCGCGAGGGTCTGCTGGGAACGTCTGGCGGAGTCTCCTGTCAGAAGGAGCTTTAAGTCCCACCTCCGAAAGAACTTCCAAAATGTTCCGGGGGAGGCGAGGGACATTGATTCTGAATGGACCCTGGGCCTCCATTGTTGAGGCGGCTGACCAGAGCTGTGGTCGCAGGATCGTCGTTGCCTGTCGTGGTGACAACCCCCAAACCGGCTGGTGGAGACCAGCGGTTAGGGATGCTGTCAAGCTGAAAAAAGAGTCTTATCAGGTCTTTTTGGCCTGTGGGACTCCAGAGGCAGCTGACAAGTACCAGCAGTCCAAGCGGAACTTAGGTGGTCGCCAAGGCAAAAACCTGGGCTTGGGGGGAGTTCGGTGAGACCATGGAGCAAGACTTCCGTATGGCTTTGAGGAGATTCTGGTCCACCATCCGGAACCTCGTGGGGGGAAATCAGTGCACTACCAACACTATCTATAGTGGGGACGGTGTGCTGCTGACCTCTACTCAGGACGTTGTGGATCGGTGGGCAGAATACTTCAAAGACCTCCTCAATCCCATCGACATGTCTTCCAGTGAGGAAGCAGAGTCTGGGGACTTTAGATTGGCCTCTCAAATCTCTGGTGCTGAGGTCCCTGAGGTGGTTAAAAGCTCCTCTGTGGCAAGGCTCCAGGGATGGATGAGATCAGCCCGGAGTTCCTTAAGGCCAGTGGCGGTTCTACATCGAATTACTCCCCGGGCGAGGCCCCCTTTGAGCGCCCCCCCCACCACCACCACCACCACCACCACCACACCACCCCACCTGCATGAACACACGCATGTTTTCTACAAACAGGCATGTTTTATTAGAACGACTATTGAACATTCATTTTTCTAAGTTGCACATATTTACATTAATTACTATGAAGTTGTCAGAATGTAAAGCACTATACATTATATACTGTATCAAACTATATAGAATCAAATATACAAAAACAAACAATAACTAAATATTAAGAATATATGAACATAATAGATAATAAATATTCTAAATAGCAAAAATATTTCACACGTAACAAACTAAAGATAATCACTACAGCATTGCACTTAGAACAGAAAACACAAACTAAAATTAAAACCTAACCTTGATGCAACATCATCAATAATGTCATCACATGAAATCTGCTCCCCTACTGAGTGATTGATACTAATCAGAGCCAGGTTAGTGAGCCGCCCCTGAAACAAAGTTGACCTCAGGTATGACTTGATCAAGTTTTGAAAAGCTCCTCTCAGCTTGAGCCACAGTGACTGGCAGAGCAGTCCAAAAGTTGGGGTAGATGTCCAATAGATCTCATGATCCATAATAATTTAGAATTGCCTCTGAAATTGTAATTTAAACTGACATAAAAAACTGTAGACTACCAAAAATGCCAACTTTTACAGAACAAATCATGTAAAAAATAATCAGTGCAGCCATCTGCAATAAATAAACAGGATAGTTAGTGGTGACTGGGGAGTGTTCTTCTGCTTGTAGAGTGGTTTCATTTATTATTATGTGAACATGATCAACATGTGTTTGTTGCTGTTCAGGCAGGCCACAGGCTGCAGCGAGCATTTAACAAATCCTAGTTTGAATAAGTAAAAAACGATTCAAGGACTTTTTTCAAACCATTTGAATATTCGTTTAAATATTTCAGCCCTATTAGCTCTGTTAGCAATTAGTTGACCGCATTTAACCGTTAAAATCCCAGTTAACTGGTTCAAAAAATTGAAAACATGCATCATGAGAGCTACATACCTTTATCTTTCTGCTCTTTTTTCTTTTTTTCCCCCTGAATGGGGCACCTGGTGGTTTTAGCCTTTTTATGTTCATCTCTTCTGTTTGGCTCCTGACTCAGTAAGTTTCCTTTAGTCAGGACTAAACAATTTCACCTTGATGGGGGGGTGACCACAAAATCGTTTTGTTTTTCCTTTTTTTATTCGGCCATTTCACACAATTCAGAGAAACCTGAAAGAATGATAGGCCTGTGTTTATGATATTATGAATGAAATATGGAAGAACGTTCAGATGTGATTGACTTTAGCCATGTTAATACAGTTGATTCAGCCCCTGCACGCTCATTCATTTGGGAAAGACGCAGAGGTGAATTCCCCCGCCGCACCCCTCCCCTTCCTGTTCTTTAGACACACGGAGCACGTGAACGTTCTCAGTCAGCAGGAGCGCCTGCAACTGCAGGGGGCGCCAACTTGCTGTTTCCAATCCAGACACTGCCATATGACAGATACCGGTAATAGAAAACCTCGGTGCGGCGCAGATTTCCTTTTTTTTTTACTCCGCGCTTGTGCGCCCCTTTTGTGTCATGAAAAAATGCCGCCCCGGGCAACTGCCCTGTCTGCCCGTGCCTAAAACCGCTACTGCTTAAGGCTCTGGATGTTGTGGGGCTGTGTTGGCTGACACGGCTCTGCAATATCGGGTGGGCATCGGGGGCAGTCCCACTGGACTGACAGACCGGGGTGGTGGTCCCCTTGTTTACAAAGGGGTACAGCAGGGTGTGTTAGTGACTTTGGCTATTTGTTTAAAGTCTCTCACTTAGTACTTTGTAAATTGATTTCTGAAAGCATTGTTTCTGTTCATTTTCAATGCAAAATCAAAATAAAGATTACTCCATCCATCCACATTACTCTGTTTATCCAGGGTCAGGTTGTGGGGGCAGTAGCCTAAGCAGGGAGGCCCAGACTTCCCTTTATCCATCTACAGTACTTAGGCAAGCTTCTCCAGGGGTATCCCATGGAGTTCCCTGGCCAGCTGTGAAACAGTCCCTTCAGCGTGTCCTGTTTTCCATTAGGCCTCCTCCCAATTGGACATGGCCGAAACACCTCACCAGGAGGCATCCTAACCAGATGCCTAAGCCACCTCAACTGGCTTCTCTCAATGTGGAGGAGCAGATCTCCTCCAAGCCCCTCCTGGATGACCAAGCTTCTCATCCTATCTCCAAGGGAGAGCCCAGACACCCTACCGAGAAAACTCATTTTGGCCACTTATATACATAACCTCATTCTTTCGGTCACTACCCAAAGCTTGTGACCATAGGTGATAGGTGATGGTAGGAACGCAGACCAATTGGTAAATGAGAGCTTTGCCTTTCAGCCCTGCTCTGTCTTCACCACAACATAAAGGTAAAATGCTTGCATCACAGCAGATGCAGCACCTAATCTCCATCTCCAACTGACCTTGCGCTCCATCTTTTCCTTACTCGTGAACAAGACCTTGAGCTAACTCCTCCACTTGGGGCAGCACCTAGTCCTAGACCTGAAGTAGGCATTCTACTCTTTCAATTCAAGACCATGGTCTCAGATTTAGATGAGCTGAATTTCATCCCAGCTGCTTCAGATCCCCCTCAACAGTTTGACTGTGCCTGGAAATCCTGTCCACAGCAGTTATGAACAGAATCTGTGACAAGGGGCGGCCTCAGTGGAGGTCTAACTCACGGCAAACAAGCCCAACTTACAGCCGGCAATGACGGACCAAGCTCTGACACTGGTCACACAGGAATAGCCCACAGCCCATATCAAAGGGCCTTATACCCCATAATCCCGAAGTACCCCCCAAAGGACGCGGTCAATCACCTTCTCCAAATTCACAAAACACATGTAGATTGGTTGGGCGAACTCCCACACACTGTTGAGGACCCCCCTAAGGGTATAGAGATGGTCCAGTGTTCCACGGACAGTACAAAAACCACATTGATCCTCCTGAATCCGAGGTTCGAATATCCGACGGTCCCTGCTCTCCAGAAACCCTGAATAGACCTTACAGTGAGGCTCAGGAGTGTGATCCCCCTGTAGTTGGAACACGCCCTGGGGTCCCCCTTTTTAAATGGGGGACCGCCAACCCAATCTGCCAATCCATTTGAACTGCCCCCGATGTCCATGTGATATTGCGAAGCCACGTCATCCAATACAGCCCTACAACATCCAGAACCTTAAGGAACTCTGTGCGAACCTCATCCACTTCTGGGACTTTGCTACCCAAAAGCTTTTTAACCACCTCAGTGACCTCTGCCCCAGAGAGTCCCCAGGCTCTGCTTCTTCACTGGATTACTTGCTGATAGGATTGAGGAGGTTTTCGAATTGCTCTGCCCCCGATCAATTTATTATAGTGAATTCATAATTAAATGGGTAAACTAGTAGTAGCACATTCAATGTCAAAGAAAGTAAAATGTTATTATCGGGAGAGGGAAAATTATTAAGTGGTTGGCAACAGTGTTCAAGCTGATGGCCCCCTCCATAAGGCCACCACAGCTCAGCAGAACACCATTGCAGCTTCTTCTGGGGAGAAAAACACTTAGAGAAAAAACAAAGTGAACAGCTGAAATAGCAGGAAATAATACAGTTAAAGAGCAAATTGTAGAAGAAAGTAGTCGAGTGTGGAAAGTGGTCAGTATGTCCTCCAGCAGTCTAAACCTATAGCAGCATAACTACAGAGATAACCTAACCTTTTAGATGGAGGCATGTTGGAGGCAGGGCAAGGGAGAGCCGTCTTTATCGACTGTACACTGCTCCTCCCTCTACTCCCCCACTTGTCCATATCTAGGCTAACATCAGATTTTAACCATGGGCCCTATCAAATAAAATGTTTTAAGCCTAGTCTTAAAAGTATTGACTATGTACTGCTGAACAGCAGCACATCGTCCCCACTATAAACCGTGTTGCGGCCTATATCCTGGTGCCAAGAGCACAAATGGACACCTATATGCGTAATTCATAAAATTCAATAATTCCTAATGTAAATTCAAGCTCAGTTGTGTGAAGAAAATGATTACTGGCGTCACCTGAGTAAGCTACATGTTTTTTTCAGTTGAAACGAATATATGATGTACAATTACATTTACATATGAAGACTTAAAAGTGTTATGAAACAAGACGTTTTAATTTGCATAAAGACTTTTATTAGTCATGTAGGCTATCTTTTTCTCTAATTTAATGAACAGACCTTAATCTGATTTAATGCATTTAGAGGCCTATCCTGCAAGCTCCTGTTGGTGCAGTTTACTCAGTGTTCTGTTCTGACATTTACAAAAGAAAACCTGCAAATACCTCAAAAAGCACTTCTCAGTTTCGTTTAAAAATACATCATACATTGAAAATACAAGTACTGTCTATTAGGAATAAAAAATACCAACATAATGTTTGAAAAACGATAATAGTTATAATTTTTTTTATTGTTTGATGAATAATTTGCGTTGCCCTTGTTCTGTACTGAAATTATGATTAAATCTGGAATATAGTTTGTCTCATTTATTACATTACTAACATTTACCGTTATTTTTATTTCATTTTATTGCTTTCCATTGTGGTGGTGCGCGCGCCCTGGGTGATCGCGGTGACGTCACTGTCCCAGAATGCAGTCGGGTAAACAGACATGGAAGCACCAGATGAAGACCTCCTCATAGGCTGAATCCTGTATTTGTTTCTCTTCCACCGTCCTGTGTCTCATCTACTCTGTGTTTCTAATTGCTTTTTCTAAACCTGGTGTCACATTTGAAACTCCAGCATCCAGCTTGACGGTGAGACTAAAGTTCTTGTTGATCCGGTGCGGCCGCTAATGACTTGTACTGTCAGGCTTGAGCTGCTTCCTCTCTGAGGCTAACATGCTAACGTAACAGTTAGCCTTCATTGCTGTGCGGTAACACAGAGCCACATTGGAAATAGCTGTTTTTTATGCCGTAACTCCTTATAGACAATCTGTATTTTGTTTGATATTGAACTTGTAGTTAATTTAGGGCATTTATAGTTTATATAAATTAAGTATAAAAATGTAGTTATTGTGTAGTCCAGGTGTAGCAAGAAGTTGGAGCAGCGTTAGCTAATTGTGTCCTCTAGTTGTTGACCGCTCGCAGTTGTCTGTTACGATTGCTTTTGAATTTACGAAACACGGTTTCCTATGAAATTTTAATATTCTTAAAATTTTGGAACGGATTGCCTTTCACTGGGTTTTAAACAATACAGAATAACAGCCTAATCAAATTTAGGCCTTGAAATGATGGGGTGTTCACACGTTTGCATTGAAGTCCTTTTTTGGTTTTACAGCAGACACTGTAAACTCTCAACGTATTGGTATGACTTTTAAATTTAAAGTAAATGTGTTGATGTAGTTATTTTCAAATCAAAACTGGCATATTATTCACTTCAAAATGGCATTAAAGACAAACAACTAAAACTAATCGAGATAAAATGACACCAGTTTAATACAAAAAATGAAGTGCATTGAAATTAAATAAAATTCCAAATTGAATACATTAGTTTTCCTCCTAAACTAGTCCACGGTCTCCACAGAACTATATGGAAGAGCAGAATTCCAGAACATAGATCCTACAACAGCGAAAACACTTATCACCTGTTTCATGTCTAAATGTGAGTGAAAAGACACTTTTAAATTCAAATTTCATTGAAAATATAATTTTTGGACTACCATTTTATTTTTCATTATTAAATTTTTTTGTATATATAAGTGTGGATTAAATTTGATAATAGGCATAATTTAAATTTTTTTTGCTAAATCCTTGAATTTATAAATCTATTTCAAAAAGTTAAATTGTGTAAACCTAAGTCTTTTTAAAAGTCATCTGATATATATATCAATTAGAAAATATACAAAAGTTCAAAGCTTTTAAACTAATTGGTTACATAATTTTTGGAAATGATCTTTTACAGGTTTTGTTGCGTAAATATGTTTTTCCAGATTAACCTTCTTAGAGCAGTGGTGTCCAATCCTGGATCCAAATGTCCACTACTTTGCATGGTTAGGTTTTTCTGCTGCAGCACACACGTCCTCTGGTTCTGCACAAGTCCATCCATCATCCATTGATTCGTAACAAGTTTGTTGGAGCACATAAGCAAACAAAACATAGAAGATAGTAGCTCTCATGGACCAGGATTAGACACCTCTGGCTTAGGTTAGCAGTTTGAAACACGTCTAGCCATTAATTAACCGTTAATGGTTAAATAATGTTAATCAAATTAACATAATGTAATAACTGATTGAACTGAAGCTTCAATATTAGTTTCTGCATAACCGATATGGCCTAAAGGGAGAACTTAATCTGGGATTAACAGACATTTGGCAATATTTAACAGATTTTTCAGTCATAATAACAGAAAACGGCTAAGTGGTGATGGAAACAAATTCTTAGTTTTAAAAAAAATTAAAAGCTACTTTCATTCCTCCAAGAACTGACATGGATGATTTGTCTGGCAAGCCATTGTGTAAATGTGACAATGTATTCTGTATGTGTTCCCCTACATCCCCTTACAGCCCCAGGCGTGGCGCTGCGCCATGGCCGAAATTCCAGCACACAGATGCACGGAAGAGAAGCACTTTGCGCGCACAACAACCTCCCCTCACTCGCTCTCACGGACAACGCACGAAAGCTAAACGGTCTGCTAAGCAAAAATATGTGACATACAAACTAGGGCTGCAGCTATAGAATATTTTTGTAATCGAGTACTCTATCGAATCTTTTATCGATTAATCGAGTACTCTAATAAATTACTCTTTTGCGTTTTGTAAACCCTTATATCAAATAGCATGTTATAAAATATGAAAGACCTCTTGAAATGAGCAAGCAATTGCCAGTTATTCTTCAAGTTTTATTCAAATTTTGTTTTCAAAACTTCAGCACTTCAACTTTACTTCACAGTAAACAAATGCGAGCGGCTGCGGTCCAAACAGAACCAGAACCGTTCACGGCGCATGCGCAAACATGGCTCGCCAGCTGTTTCCCTATTAACACACGTCCGTTTTAATTTCTACACTTTATTTTTCTCACACTAACAAGGATTGTCGAAAGCATGTTTGCCATGGTTATGTCAAATTGTACTGATCACCAAACATTTATTTACTTCCTTTTGTTTTCCTCCGTCACTCTCATAAATACCCGTGTCCTCCTGCAGCATTCCAGAGGGACAACGGACATCAATAACAACACAGTAAAAAGTCTGACGTGTTGTAAAAACTGCTATTTTTTAGCACATTTTAAGTCCGACGTGTTGCTACCAGATGTATGGTGTGAGCTGAAACTGAGTGCTACAAATGAAAAAGTCGCACAGTGCCCGCAGAATATATAGAAATGCAGGCTAAAATGCATTATCTTGTAGAGGCTCCGAGTCCGCTTGCAGACGTGACATTTACATGTGGATGTTTGCTGGTCAGGTGCTGCAGCATCGAGGAATATGGTGTGTTAGGCTAAATCCATTTTACAGTATTTACACTGGAGTACATTTTCCGCCTTACGACGTGAAAAATGGTCCCACACCTTTGGCATTTTGTGTCTTTTTCGCACTCCACCGGGGTCCACGTTGTCCGCCATGGCTTAAGAGAAAGTTAAGTTACATTCGCTACTCGCGTGTGCATTCAGTGCAGTGTGTATGTGCGTCACTTATTTCGGTCCGGGTGAAACATGACCCCGGGTGATTGCAAAGCCATGAATTAATTAAACATGAATTAAACGAAGCCTCGAGGCAGAGAATTTGACTCGAGGATTTTTTATACTCGAATTATTCGAGGTACTCAAGGAATCGTTTCAGCCCTTATACAAACGTGTTCTAAAGCAGTGGTTCCTAACCTGGGGGTCCCGACTCCCACAAGGGGGCGCCAAAGCCTCTCAGTGGGTCGCCAGGACCTCTCCACTTTAAGGGGTTAAAACTTCATTTATTACTTGTTTATAGCCTACATTTTGCTCACATTTTTTTTTTCATGAGTGAAAAGTTTACTGATATTAAGACAGGAAATAATTAGTACAGAAAAAGTAACACACTTTTAAGCACATTTTGCTCAGCTCACTGTTTTATTTTCAAGTGTCAAAAGTTCATTAAAGATAGGACTGGTTGATTAATCACAGCCTTTACAGTAAATAATCTAGTATAAACAGTAATATACACATTTAAGTACATTTTGCTCAGTGTATTTTTTATGTGTCAAACGTTTATTGAAAGGAATGATTAATTTATCGGTGTTTACAAGAAACAATGTGTTCAGAAAAGTAATACAAACTGTCAAGCACATTATGCTCTGTTTGGTTTTGTTAATTACTTTGTTCTGTACTGGAGCCTGCTTTTACTGTTATCTATTGAATCAAAGCATATTAAAATGTGCTTGAACAATTTTATCATTTGTTAATACTGTTTGTACTGGAAGAGAGAATGGGAGGGAGTCGTCAAAAATTTTACTGGTAAAAAACGGGGTCCCTTGGGAAAAAGGTTGGGAACCACTGTTCTAAAGGTAATAACATCGCCACCGCTACTGATGTTGCTACACCAATGTTAGCAGTAGGGATTAGGGATATGTATTGGTGAAATTCTGGCGATACAATGCGTATTACGATACAGGGGAGACGATACAATATATCACGATATATTGCGATACATTCAGTCGGACGATATTGGCGATTTTTTTGACTAAATTTATTATAGGAAAATTCACTAAACAGTCCAAACTGATACTTAACATGTTTAACCATAGCAGAGGGATTTATATTTCAATGGTAGAAACAAAAACCATTACACACTGCTGCCAACTAGTGGTCGGTGTTTGAATTGCACCACAAGAAAAGAAAATACCCAAATATTTCCATGTAAATTCTTCCAAAAATTAGATACACGACTTTTGAATAGCGATACATTTTTGCAAGGAAAAATATCACGATATATTGCAATATCGATATTTTCGATACACGGGTTTTGAATATCGATATAATATCACTGGGGAAAATATCACGATATATTGCCGTAATCGACAATTTCTTACATCCCTAGTAGGGAAATATCGATATGGCAATATATCGTGATAATTTTCCCTGCGATTATTACATCGATATTCAAAAGCCGTGTATCTAATTCCTGAAAGAATTTACATGCAAACATTTGTGTATTTTCTTTTCATTTTGCGCAATTCAATTGCCACCCGCTAGTTGGCAGCAGTGTGCAGTGGGTTTTGTTTCCACCACTGAAATGTAAATCCCTCCATCATGGTTCAGATACCTCATGTTAAACATTTTACGTATCAGTTTGGACTGTTTATTGAATATTCTTACAATAAATTCAGTAAAAAAAATTGCTTGTAACGTCTGACTGAATGTATCGCAATATATCGTGATATATCGTATCATTTCCCCTGTATCATGATATGTATCGTATCGCCAGAATTTAAAAAATACTCATCCCTAGTTAGCAGCTAACAAGAGGTAAACTTACCGAAGCGACTTTTTGTTCTCCGCCATGACGTGCTTCTTAAGGTGCTCGTGCATCGCTGATGGCTCTCGTGAAAGGAGAGTTTCACTTTGCAGAGTTTGCACTCTATGGGCCTTTCTTTTGTCTTTGTATAATGCTCCCAAATTTATGAGTGACATTGCCCACTCGCCATGTTTTCTTTCTCCGATGACTAATCGAATGCTGATCTGGATGGCCACTACACATCCGCCTTGGCGCTAAAGCGGCGACTGAGCAGAAAGGCTGGAAGCAACCGCCGAACGTGCCGCAGTTTTGTTTGTAAAATAAACTATGTGTCGACTGTTAAATTAATAGCCGACTATTTTATTTGTCTACATCATCATGATGAGTCGACTAATCGTGGCAGCCTACACCAGTCAGATCAGAACTGTGGAGGTTCCAGTGGAGCGTGGCTAGACTGACACGCAGAGCAAAATAATTTTGCTTCTGCTACTGTCCATCTAGATTTCTAGGCTTATGAAGGATGGCAGTGTGGAGTGAGAGGGTTAGAGCTTGATCACGCAAACATTTAAAACATTTTTCATTTGATCTCAAATACTATTATGTTTATCAATCTGAAATAATGTTACTCAGGAGGAACAAGCAGGGTGTGAAATTTGATACCAGACTTACTAATCAGTAGATTTTGACTGCAGGAATTTGGGTATATTTTGTGTAAAACCTTTCTTCAAATTTCTGTTTTAGTGAACTTTTAAATTTGGACAACAAAAATGCAACTCCAAACCAAACTACAAGCCAAATTTACTTATTTTCAGACACATTCGGTTATTCTATGTTTAAGTTGCTGATTCAATTCTGAAAATGTTCCTGAAAAATCCTGTGCAATAAATAACATCATCAATAGAAATAGAAGATCAAATCGCCCTACATTCTTAAATTTGTTTCAGTGTTTTATTTTTAAACACACGTTTTCACTATCAGAACTTCTGGGTTATTTTACCAGACCTTCATGGCATGCGCATTACTCCATTTCACATGGGCCGGCTCAGAAGGACCGTTTTTCGGGCCATTTCAGGAACCAGCCAAGTACCAGAACTGAGGTATGTACTCGTAAAGGCCTGATAGTCGCTGGGTGTGGCTTGTGCTTAACTCATGCTGATTGGTTGTAAACAGTAGGAAATGATAAACAGCACTCGTAAAATTGCAAGAGTTGCTGGTGAATAGGGCGGGGCAATATATTGGAAATGTATCGTTATCGAAAATTTCTGACTCTTATCGAGATAAATTTTCCTTTGTAAATACATTTGGTAATAAAAAAATGAAAAGATGTCTGTAGGTTGGCAACATTCATGTCCCTGTAAGAAGCTGTACCACCTTGAGTCACGTAAAAATGTGACAACGTAATTCATGTGACACCCCCTAGTAGGCAACTTTTGTTTCTGCGCATACCTGTAGTTTAGAGTCCTGCACGGGCCTAAAATCTGAGCCCGTGTCCGGCCCGGCCCAAAAGGGTGGAGCCCCAGCCCGACCCGGCCCGAAAAGGTTTTCAGGATTCTCTGGCCCGGCCCGAGCCCGACTTTTTTAACCAAATAAATGAAAACAAAGTGCGTCAATCCTGACCAATGTGTTAAAAGACGTGCAGGATCCGATCAATTTGTTTTTCCCTCATTTACCGTCACGGAGATAACGGCGCAGGCTCTGGTGTTAATCAAGTTAAATTTGATCTCTTTCCAACAATTTTCACAAGAAAACAAAACTGTCAAAAGCAGGGCTTGTGTTGTGTTGACCGGATAGTTCCCGTATTTGACGGTTTATTTTGACGGAGAAAGAATAGAAAAAATTACCCCGACGCATGCATACGAACTGATATTTTATTCGTTACACACATCGCAGATGTAGCTAAATCACCCAAGAAAAGATTCCCATCTGAACATCTGAGCTGCTCAGCGCAGCTCGCTGTCAGCGCATATGTGCACAGCGAGCTGAAGTTGTGGAGATAGGCTTGGAGCGCATCGCAGAACCAGAGCGCATACGGAAAGGTTCCTCCCACTGAAGCAAGTGTTTTCCAAACCCTGTCGCTCAGAGAGACTTGTCACTTAGAAAATGTTCCCTGATTATGAAACTTTGGCTGAATAGTGCTTGTTCCTGTCTCCAATGTGGCAACGCATCCATGAGCCTGTCTGAAAAGCCCAGAATCTCTTCATCTGAGAAAGCGCCTATGATTACGCACAAGCGTGACGCGTCAACCCGGTCTCACAGTAAGACCGGGTTGGACCTGTTCAGGTTTACACAGACAATCTTTACATAGAATTGACTTACAGATATAAAATTAATTCAGTAAACTATAAAGCATTTTATTTAAATATCCATTCATTATTTTACAAGCACAGAGAGCCGCATCAGATGGATGGAAGAGGGTTGTGACATGTTTTCTCCAGGACCAGAGAGGACGCAAACTCAATACATCTCTTTTATTGTGAGGTAATAATTTCTCCGAGTTTTGCGGGTGCGGGCGGGAGTGTAACACACACGTTGCAGTTGCAGGCGGTAATGGTCAGAAATTCAGCGGGAGCGGGCGGGAGCGGGATGAAGAAAACAGTCCCGCGCAGGGCTCTACTGCTGCGTTTGTGTTTCAATATTTTTAATGAATTCGATTAAAAATAAAGGTGCCCGGCCCGTGTCTGAGGTAATTACACAGTCGTTGGCCCGAAGCCCGGCCCGAGGGCCTAGGGCCGGGCCGACCCGAAGGCCTAGGGCTTCAGTGCAGGGCTCTACTGTAGTTATCGTCCATTTATCATTATCAAGTTGAAATTCTCAATATATCGTGATATTGATTTTAGGCCATATCGCCCAGCCCTACTGGTGAAGCAAAACTAATGGAAAAGAAAATAAGCAATTTTGACGCTACTTTAAAATCAAAGTTTCTAAATTCCCAACACTGAGAAGTGCCACGGAAATCCCCCCAAAATTATGAAATCGGTAAAAGTATGTATGATTTGTGCTGATATCATATTGGATTGATATTGGTCAATACTGAAGGCTGCAATATCGGTATTGTATCGGAAATGAAAAAAGTTGTTTCGGGACATTCCTATGTGCAACTGCTGTTGCACATGTGTAGCAGCCACTGGTGTTCATGATGACTTCTATGTGTGCCTGACCAATGCATTATGTTTGCCCACATCATTTAATTTACACACGAAGAGTTTAAATATGAATATCTGTGCCTGAACTATTCTCTCGTGATAATAATTTATACTTATATTTTCTCTCTCATAATACTTATGAATTAAACGTAATTCCATAATAAACTATTGGCCTAATGCATTGTCACTGAGTGACTGTTTGTTTGTGGGCTTTGTGCTGGGTTGTGCATGTCTGCAGATTTCCTCTCCAGCGTGTGTCAGTCAACAGTCACCCAAACCGAAGAGGATCAACTGATCAAGTCAAAAAGAGTTTTCTGCTTTTTTAGAAATTTGCTAAGGTAAGATCTCTAAATATGTAAAACTTCCAGATGTTCATAGTTGTCACTTAAAGGTTCAGTTCACTTACTGTACCACTCACTTATGCATGCTGAAGATGTTAATAACTTAACCCCCTATCACCTGCCTTAGCCACAGAAAAGAAATAGATAGGCAAATAAAGTAAATAGGCAAATAAAGTCTGAATCAATAAAAGCCAGTCAGCATTATGTCACCATGTAAATTAGCTGTCATGGCCTCGCCCACCTTGACATGCGACTTTTTAATATTTTGTTGATTTGGTGGCCAGGAGAGACTAAAGTGCGTTAGCAATAGCATTGCCACAACATGGTGGAACACGTTTGGACTTGTTACTTGTGAAGATAACACATCAGTAATAGCCTGGCAAGCCATCCTCTATATGTGAATATATAGTCTACGACCCATAGACAGACCTCAGTTATGAGGTGGAATCTACTCATGTCTTTAAAACTGTCTCTGCCTATTACTGGACTATGAACAACGTGACATACTCACCGCTATGAATGTCAGTCAACGGGGCATTCCGCCACACACTGTCAAAGACAACGCAAATGCATCCTTCTAAGTAAACAACTTAAGTACCTATGTCTGCTTGTGTCTTGCCAATCACAGCGTTCTGTCAGTTTGGTGGGCAGGACTTTACTGCGACTGATTGAAACTAAGATGGCAACGGCTCGTTTGAAACAGTTGTGGCATCAACTTTGGACTATTTATATTCTGGCTTTTCTTTTGCCACTTACACACTAGCATCGGCGTCACTCCACTCTGCCCGCCCCAGCCTGGCCGCGTTTATTCCAAACTTTCTCAGGAATACGGTCATGATTGAGCACTAGGGATGGGTACCGAATCCGGTACTTTTTAAGGTACCGACCGAATTCCATAGTGCCGACCGAGCACCGATTCACGTCGTTTCAAACGGTGCCTCGTTTCGGTACCCGTCCATCATAACGAGAACTTGCCAAGACAGCTGCGCATGCACAAGAGCGTTTTGTCGTCGCTTGCTGTGAACCAGTTGTAAACAGAGCAGCATGGTAGAGAGAACGCAGGCTAAAGCTTGGGTCCACTTCACTAAATGTGATGTGTAACTGGATGATGAAACCAGCGACAACTATCTAAGTGAGACATCCTCATCTTAATCTGCTCCGGTATGTAAATATAATTAGCTTGATATGTTAGCTTCCGTTTCGCCAATGGTGCGTTCGCATTCTCCTCGGAACTCCGAATATCCGACTATAACAACATGAACGCGCTCTAAAGTTTGGCTTCATTTTACTAAATGTGACGGGTGAAGACGAAACCAGTGACGATCTAAGTGTGAGGCATCGTTTTAATCTGCTCCAGCATCTAAATAAACTGTTTAAGATATCGTTAGCTTGATATGTTAGCTTCCATTGCTACCATTGTTATCAGCTAATGGTGCGTTCGCTTTCTCCTCGGAAATTCTAACTTCCCAGTAGGAAAAATCAAATGAAAAAAGATGGCAAAAGGAATGAAGATACACAGTAAATTTAGTTCACAGTAAAGATGTTTGCTTCAGTTTAATTATCAGCTTATAAAACTACAAGGACGATGTTAAAATACAAACAGTTGTATGTTATTTATCGTGATATTTATCAAATATTTTTATATATTGAGAAAAATATATATTTAATTATAAAAGAGAATTAAAATAATAAACACTCAAAAGTATCGAAAATTGGTACCGTTAATTACCGGTATCGATTCGTAGGTACCGGTAATTAGTACCGGATCGATTCAAATGTCAAAGGTACCCATCCCTATTGAGCACATGGGCGGTCTGTGGCCTGTGGTGTCATGAGTGCATCTTCGAGCACGTGGGCGGGGCAAAAGCATGGAGAAGTCCGCGGTGTCGCCATTATTAAACAAAAGCGGCCTGAGCTGTCTTGCCTTTGGAGACTCTGACTCTGAGTTTGCATCCTGCTTTGCTGTGTCTGGCATCACTGTGTGTGTTTGTGTGTGTGCTTCCTCACAGCAGTGAGAGACAGAGAAAGATGGCTTCAGTCAGAAGCTCGTTAACTCCATAGCATCCGGAATGATAATGAATTGCGCATGCGGGAAGCCCCCGCAGACTATTTCTATCTGCTTATCCAATCAGGCAGTGGTTGTACCATCCCTGTTCGACTTAAGGCAGACCTCCTTGAGAAGAGGGCTGAAAAGACATGTAGCTCCGCCGGGGAAAATCCATGTCTACCTAAATGAGAAAACTCCCAGCCTGGTCTAGGCGGAGTGGAGTCGATGCTATTGTGAAAGTCCATTTTGAGTCTAGAGCAGCTACTTAAAGTGATGGCGGGTATTTTCCCTGGCGATACCTAAATCATTGCAAGCAAACCATATTTTTCAGTTTGAATAAGATCTTACCAACAGATGGCCATTAATGTCAAAAATCCCTTGGTGAGGTGGTGCTCACTCCTCACCCCTGCCACGTGGACCTCAAGGGATAAACCATCCATCCTGCTCAATGGTCAACTTTCTTTGCGGGGTCACCCATGAAGACAGTGGGAGGGTTAAAAACATGTTGAAATTTAGTCTAGAATGATGTAGCAATAAACTTATAGTCTTGATGTTTATGTTCAATTCTTCTTTATTAGCAGGGTTTGTATATCATGTCTCCATAGTCGATTTAAACTAGAACAGCCATAATACAACAGAGAGGTTTAAAACAGAGGTGGTGTTTTGTTTTGTCTCAACTTGATGTTTAAAAAGTTTTTATGTGCAAATCACTTTTCTCATTCAATGTAGAACAGGTGGAAATAAAACGCAGAAAAAACTGGACCAGTGAGCACATTTCTGCATTAATAATGCAGCGATAATAAAATATTCCTGTTGTAATGTGTTCAATAATTAATCTTTCTTTCTTTCTATAAAGTGTAAAACCTGTTGTGTTTTAACCTAATGTTTGTCAAATTCAATCCTGATTGTATTTAGTAACAAGGTAAACGATAAAAACGGAGTTCTCACGAAGCTCGTGCCTAGATACTCTAGAGGAGTTGGGTGTATTTGCAAAGTTTTGATCAGCTGAAAAACAATGTATCTAATTCTGACCGCAGTAAATGAAGTGAAATGTAATTCCTCTTACAGAACGAGCTTTAAGTTGAGGTTTTTACTTTTGAATTTCTACATTTAGTGTTTCTGAAAACAACATGGGGTCATGGCACGCTTAGCTCAAGACTTCAGGAAATGTGTCATTTAATTGGGATGTTTTTTTGTTTTTTACTAGTCCCCCTCACATGAAAAAAAGAACACAATAAATAAGTAGTTTTCAAACGGACACTGGTTTTGTTGTAACACTTTCACAAAGGAAAACATAAAGGTTGTTTTAGTATTTATTTACAGAATGTAATGCTTTGTTTCATGTTACATTAGTCAGATTTGTTTCTAGTGCTGCAGTTTGCTTCTTGTTTTTGCAGTTTTCTTGCAGGTGAGCGTATGGTGTCATATTGAAAGTGAAAGTAAAGTTAACCATTATTTAATTTAATTTTTGTTAAGAGTTTATTAAGGACCTGTTCAAATCTACACAAAACAAAGCCAAACGGTTACCTTTCATTGTGAGTAAAGCTGAAATGGGTAATTCCAGGCTGATGTATTTTATAACCCCTTTAAAATAATAAAAGTTGGGAAAAATCGGGGAGATGGTTTCAAATGAAAACAGTCTTACATTTTTTTGTTCCACTGTGCAGCTCAAGTTGATATAATTTTCATGGTTGACAAAATTGGGTATTTTTACAGCAGAGGCTCAGGCATGCACAGCCTTATTTCCTTGTTTTCTGTAGGATGAACTCATTTGCAATTCTGTGCAAGAAATTAACAAATTTGTGGACATGGATTAAGAAACACAAGACATTTATGTCATGTTTGCGCTTAGGGATGGTGTGTCTATCTTGTATTCATTTTTTAAATAACTGTTAAATTTAGAAATAGAGTTCAGGTGTGTTGAAACGGGAACTTTGTTTTGTCCTTATTGGACAATAACAATACATGTAATGAAAGTAATGTGTTGACTTTTATTTTTTAAATGTGAGAATGGCATTTGAAAACAGTATTTAAGTGTCAAATTTAAGAGTTTACAGAACTAAAGGCAGTTTTAAAGTCATTAGTGGAGGTATTGCTTTAATAGGCAATGCAACAGTCTGCAATAACACGACTCGTTGTAAAAGACTACATCAGGGATATTCAATTCCGGGGCTTGGAGGGCCGGTATCCAGCACGTTTTAGTTTTAACCCTGCTTCAACACACCTGATTTCAATCAGCAGGTAATTAACAGGCTTCTTCAGAGTCTGATGAGCTGCTGCAGAGGTGATTGAACCACTGAAACAAGTGTGTTGGAGCAACAAAACCCCTAAAACATGCTGGATACCAGCCCGGGCCCGGAATCGAATACCCTTGCTCTACATGTTAAACTGCTTTCAGTTCAGATATGTCATCCTATACAACAGTTTTCACATTATGACATCTAAATGATAACAAAAGCTAGTAATGACTGCACATTCTAAATTGGTTAGGGAGTAGAAATAGTTTCCTTTTGTAACTGCAGCAGCTTGGTTTTCTCACATCAATAAATGTACATAACTGTACCCGTTTCTTTATAAAGATTTAAACGATTAACGTTTTGCCTTTTGAGTGACTTAATTCAAAGGGTGTAACTGATTAGTAAATGATTTTGTTTGTAGTTAAATTTTTTTACTTCAATTTTTTTGTTGTTTTGGGGGCACTATGGATTAGATTGAGTCTGTGTATTGATTAGTCCTTTGTAGAAGGTTCTCGTCTTGCCTTAAGACATTTTTGACGTTATGTGATCTTTACAGACTTACCTGTTGTGCAGAGCTTCCATGGAAGAATTGCATACTTTAGGATTGATGGGGTGCTAACGACTAGTCTGAGCACAGCCAATACCAAAGTGCATTGCTTCCATGCCGAAATCTCTGCATTAGACATTATATTTTATGGTCATTTACAAGCACAAATTCACCACAAACAGCCATTTTGGTGCATCCAGGGGTTAGGTATGGCAGAAATAACCATGCAATGCAAATTTAATCATGGTGTAAAGATTTATAAACTTCATGTTTGCATGAAGCAATGTTGAATTTTAGAGAAGAAAACAGTTTTTAGTTGGTGCCCATTAATTGTGCTCAGTTTAGCTGTTAGCTCATCAGTCATGAAGAACATAAACTATTTCTTTCAACAAAGACAATTCAGGAAGCTAACAACAACAGGTAAGATAGCTTTAGAACTTTTATGTAGAAATACACTTCAGATAACCAAAATATGTTTGCAAAGTTAATAATTAAAAACATCACGGTAACGATATTTTGTATGGATATTGCTTTAATTTACAGTGATGTGAATGCACATCCATTAATAAGCTGGGTGCCATGTGAGGGTTCAGTGTCTGCATCTCATTCAAGGACATGGGACTAGGAGATTCAAACTACTGATCATCTAACTGCAAGACAACCATCGTACCACTACATTGCTGCTATTTGCTAACAAAATTCTCTTATCATCTCTGCATTTTAGATTTTGAAAGATCATATACTTTTTAGATAAAAAATGGTTTTGCTTTCTTTTGTTTCAAGTGTTACAATGTTTACTTATTGCTTTCTTTATCCATTTTTCAATTGTACAGTAGGGGGCTACATGACACACTTTAGTCATTTACTGTTATAGCATAGTCATGGTATGTGCAGTCAGAGTTAAAGCAAACGAACCCCAGTATGTGCGAGTCCACTGTGACAAATAAGTGTTAACACTAATTAGTTGGTGACCCAGAGACCTTCGGACGTACTGCCGGTAGATGTGAAGTGTTAGCAAACAGCTAACTGCTAGCATGTATACCCACTTAGCATGTATGGGAACATTTGCGCTTAAAATAAACGGCATAAATAAAACAAACAGGTGTTTTAAGAAGAAAGTGATTGAGGAAGCTGCCCCATCCTGCGCGCGTCCAAAGCTGACTCTCTGTTGTTACATTGTAGCGGAAAGAATGTCGGAAAGGGCCGAGGATGACGTCAGGGGGGAGCAGCGCCGAGCGGCCAGGCAGCAGCTGAAGCAGCAGCAGATCCAGCGGGGAGAAGGCTCCTCAGCAATGGCGACTGTTGCGGAGCGGAGATCGTTGCCTAGTCCAGAAATAATGCTGGGACAGCCTTGGAGCAGCTGGGTCGACGCCACCAAACTCCACGGACACGATGGTGAGTTCCTCAGCGTCCCGACCATCCGCGAGGGAGAGCGCGACAGTAGCCAGTCCTCATTTTTTTGGCCGAATGCATGCAGTTTTTGGTTGGATATGAAGAAACGCTGCTGGTAGCAACAGCACGGTCAGGCAAGCAAGTGCAACTATTTATCTGCCCCTGTGTCGGATCGCCTTATTTTCAGGTGCTGAATCGGAGGAAAGTTTCAAAGACTTGGGGAAAAATCGAGAAGCCATGCGTTTGTGCAGAGAAGGTGAGTGTTTTTTTCTCTCGCTTTAGGGCCAAAGGTGTATTTTGGTTCTGAGGGTTTGCACAAATACACGGACACAAAACACTTTACGTGCGTCATTCAGACAGAGTACTATAGATGTTCAAAAGAACCACCCAACTAGACGACTGGGTGTTGTAAATGAATATAGGTTTTTACATGTACACGTGTTCATTGAAACAATAACTGCTAGACTTAGAAAGTGAGTTTAGGCCCAAACATAGGAACCAAATTTTATATGTTGAAAATTTCATTGTTTAGCTTTCATATTTCTGCTATTTTACTTATAGAATGGTTTCCCACACAACAGAACATGAAAGTTTGTTGCTACCACAGCTGCCTAAAGCAGGTCATGCTTATACTGCCTTCTATAACACAGAAATAGGAGGATGAATATTGGTTTGGGGTTATAACCTTACACTGCTGTAAAGCACATTGAGTTGTCTTTGTGTAGGAAATGTGCTATATAAATGGAGATATAAATGGAGCTGTCTTGTCTTACCGTTAATATAGTGCATAAATTACACCTCCAAATTATTTTTGGGGACAAACTGTGAATATGGTTTAAAATACATTTATATCGCTGCTAATAGCATATTTTAAATCTATGGCATTCTTCAGGATTGAGCTAATAAGTAAGGTGACATAGGATTTAAATGGAAAAACTTACAAGGCAGAGGAGCTATTGAGCAGTCTGTACCTCTTAAATGGCCTGTATTTGATATAGCACCTTTTAGAGTCCTGGAACCCCCAAGGCACTTTACAACACAATCAGTCATTCACCCTTTCACACACACTTTCACACCCTGGTGGGGATGAGTAGCTGTCTTGAGGCGCACTGACAGAGGCAAGGCTGCTGAGCACTGGTATTACCAGTCCCTCTGACCACAGTAGGCAAGGGGGTTTAGTATCTTGCCCAAGGACACAATGACAGCGACAAACTGAGCGGGGCTCGAACCTGCAACTTTAAAGATGTGGAACACTGAAAAAACATTTTTGAAGCATTCCTCTGTTTATAATTGGTTTTCATGCAGGCTAATCATGAAAATAGTCTTCTACACTTACCTCCATCATTAGAAAATAGACTTGGCTTTGAAATACCTGACAGATCTACATCACATTTTTGTGATTATTGTTCATGGACTCACCCATCTTGACTCACGACGGGGAAGGCTGTTGCTGGTTTGGTATCCAGCAAACAGTAGAGTGTTTCAGCTTGCAGAAGCTCACCAATAGCATTAGCAACTCCACCACACATCAGAACTCCTTCAGGCTTGTGCCATATGCGGAGATCAAACATCAACGGCAAGTCAGAGGTAGCATTGCGCTGCTGTTATCCAATCTGAGGCGAGATGTCCACATATCAGGAAATAAGACTCCGCCTGAAGCTCTTCTCTGATGTGACACATTTGTAGTTCCTAAAAAGGGTGCACCAGAACCCCCCTACCTTAGACTTAAGCCTAATTTATACTTCTCCGTCTGTGTCAGTATAGAAACATGCAACGCCATTATGCATCGATGCAAAGCCCTCCAATAGGATTGCAGAGGGTGACAGAGACAGGCTTGTGGTTAGTCGTGACACCTCTTCCTGTAAATTCCCCAACAGCTTCAAAAAGTAAAAAGATATTTAGCGGCAGACATGAAACGGATTGAAGAACACATCGCGGGAAAAAGTCTGAAAATATCAACGTATATTCACCTGTGGCTGAAGGAGCATAAAGATATGCAGCAAGTATTTTGTTCATAGGCGGAAATGACGAGAAACGTAAGCTTAGAGGTGCCGATCGCTCGAAGAGGTGGAGAGGAATGAGAGACAAATTTGTCCATTTTCAAAAGTCTCTGAAATACATAACAATCTGAACACAATAGTAAATACACTATTGTGGACTAGATATGTGACTGTAATGGGGGCAGGATACCTCAGAATAGCGCTACGCCCCTCTTGTACTGGCAGGGAAATGTTATGCAACACTCCACAGGTGACAGAAGTCTGAGAGCAAAACGTCCGTCAGTGTGTCGCGGAGCTGATGAAGTATGTCTAAATTAGGCTTTACAAGGCATCCATTCCCTCTAGAGACCACTGCAAATGTATTGATTCAATGAGTGTTCCACCCCTTTAAACTTGATTCACTTGTTGCTGATTTGCTGTTTATTTTGTTTTAGAAGAAGCATCGATGCAAAAAGGACAATCTGTGTTAAGAATCCGCAGTAATGCTTCATTTTCCAGACTCGCAAACACACATGAGACATAAAATTTGACTGAAGATTACTAGCCCAAAGGATGAATCACCTTTGTTAATATGGTGATTTACTGAGTTGTTAACCAGACATATGGCTCATTTCAAGAAATGTGTCACTGATTGTCATAATGGAGCAACGTCATGAAAAGTTTAGCTTGGAAATTAAAGGTAGTGTGTATGTTGTTGCATTTTGGACACTTGATCAACACATTTATATCTGGCAAGTCACCTGATTTTAGTAAAACGGGAAAGCCTTTTTTTTTTTAGCTTTGTTTAAAATCGATCAGAACTATACTTTAAAAGCAGCAAAAACTATTTCCTAAAAGCCAACATAGCGTCCTAAATAACTGTATAATAATAATGAATAATGGGTAAATGTTAGACTTCAAGCTCAACAATATAAAAAAGCGCTATGCCCTCTGTTGTCCTGGTGGGGAATTGCTTTGCAACACTCCCCAGAATACGGAGAAGTCCGAAGGCAAAACATCTCTTGTCAATGCATGTGCATCTCTCCTTCGTGGAGCTGACGGAGAAGCATAAACTAGGCTTAACACACAGTGTGGACCTGGGTAACACATTTCTTGGGGTGAATGTTAGACATTAATGCTGTGTTCCAGTTGTTCTCGGAATTCCCGAGCAGGAAAAAATGGGCGCCACAAGTGTTGTTGAGTACCAAACCAAAAGAATTATAAGTGTTCTCTGCACCTAAATAATAGTGACACCATGCCCTTCAACAGTTGCCACATACAAAAAAACATTACAAATCAAATGTAAAAATATAAACGCCAGGAAAAATAAAAACCATAAACACCTGTCAGTTTTGACGGCAATGTCACATTTTTCAACAACATAACTAGTGATGACAATAAACAACTTACCAGTGCTGTTAAATAGCAAAAAAAAAAAAAAAAAAAGAAAGAAGAAAACAACAAATGAATAAGAAAAAATAAATAAAGATAACTACTTCCTGGTAGCACTGGGCGCAGCCATCTTTAAATTTGGGATCTCAGGGTCTTCTGAAACCTACGAGCTCACAGCTCAGAATTCCCAGTTCATTGCTTCGTTTCTGGCTAACTTATCTCGGAAAAACGAGTTCCAAGGACTACTGGAACGCACCAACAGACCGTTTCTAATTCTTCCCATCTTGTCGAGCTATGTATGTATCTTCAGTAAATATGAAGTGTTCATCTGTCTGCTATTTATATCACACAGAGAGAAGCTGTCAGGAGAGATGACACACTTCTGTTTGGTTACAGGATTTTGGCCCACGGCTATGATGTCATTATTATTTGACCATCTATAGGCGTTTTCTGTACTCTTTACCAATTGGATTAAAGAGTTAATTGCAGATTAAGGCCGTTACACAATTCCAGTGAGCTCCAAAAAGTGACAAAAATGTACGTTATAGAACACAGTATTTGATAAAATAGGATTCACATGACACTACATCTATTTTAGGTGGTGACCACTTTTAAAGAGAGATTATTTTCTACTGTGTTGACAGCTTGTGAGATTAATGTCAAAAGGAATAATTTTCAGAAGAAGGCTAACATGCAGCTTGGTCATTTTAAAGGATTACTTGACATGCAGCTAGCTTGCACCGTGTCTTTTTCGTGTGGCAGCATCTGTAGTGATGGTTGTTTGTGTCATGAGCCTGATCAACACTCGCTGCTCATGCCAGAAGTTTGTGTTCATAGAAATCATTTGTGTGTGTGTGTGTGTGTGTGTAGATGTGTAGATCTAATGGGGGTACCACAAGTGGATGACTACACCTCTCCATTGTGACTCACGACCAGATTCCTCCTGCGGCATAGCTGCCATTCTACCACACACGGATAATTAACACAATACACACATTGTAAAAATAAATGCCAATTAATAATGTATGAATCCACCAGTCTGTTATACGTTTTTATAAATTTTACAGTGGCTCTGTCACAGTTTGTGAAACTGGAAAATGAAGCGCCACTGTCAGCCACGGGTCAGACTGAGCCAGCATGTGTGCTGCTCAGAGGCAGTTAGAGCTGCTGCGATCCCACCTAGATCATCCATCACTGCCATGGATGAGGATGCTGAAATTAACTAGACTCTCATTGTTTTTCCCTCGTCTAATGCTCACAGCCTCTCCTTCTCCTCAAGCACAGGCTGCTTTTCTCACTCCCTCTGTGTATTGCCGAGGCCTCGGCCTGCTTCTCTTCTCTTTGTTTTGTTTTATTTTATTTTTTTCTTCATTTGTGCTTGTACTCGGGCTTTACTATGTTAGTTAGCTTCTTCTTTCTTGTCCACAGAGACTTCCTTTCTCAGCTTTTTTTACCTTCTTTATTCAATGGAAGAAGATGGATATTTTAAATGGTGCAGACACAGTGGCATTAGTCTAGCCGTTTCAGCAGTGTGGTCCAGTAGGTGCCAGCAATCTGAAGAGCTATACAGCAGCTTTTCAGAGAATGGTCTGATCTCACGGCAGCAGCAGGCTGATAATTGTTTTTTTTTCTTAGCTTTATTCATACAGGAAATTGATGTATTTATTCTGCTGTATTCTGCAGTTTTTGACTGGTTTTCAACAGAGGAATCATCTAGAAGTTTAATTGTTATCAAATAAAAAATATTCACTATATTCATCTGTATTTTTATAAAGTGCACCTTTTTTTCACATGAGTTTTCTCTTTTCCTGAGACAACAGATGCTGCAGAATATGTATTTTTGCTTTGCTGCTGTTGAAGGAAACACTTGGAAGAGATGCCTTAACCAATTGACATATTAAGTAGCATCATCCTTGTCAGTTCACACAAGACAGCCGCTGACCTCTCTCAGAGGGAGCCCAGCGGGTTGATCCTTTATACGGTCTTTGCTTAATAGCCCTCGTCTGTTCCAGACTTGGCTTGCAATGTTTGGAGGACCCTTGATGGCCCTCACAGAGTATGTGCTGGAGAGGAGCTCCTCCACTCCTCTTATATCCTCTCGTCTGCTCATCTTGCTAAGGAGCCCTAGGCAATCTCTTAATTAGCCCCCTTAATTAGGTGGTTTCTGATTCTTAGAATGAATTTCCAAGTAATTCTGTGAGAAGGACGTTTTCTGATGAGCCGTATAGTTGCTTATGAAGTGGTAGATGTAGTTAATGGGGAGTCTTGAACTGTAGATAACACACTTATGTACTTTGGCATTAGCACTTGGTATTTTTTAGTGATTGTGCTTCTGAAAATGACAAAAATGAGAATGTTTTCTGCTTTTTAGCTTCCTCTATTTCTTGCATAAGCCGTTGATGGATGGGGAAACATTCAGATTAGAAAAGCCTGACAGTTGCACGTCATGATGTCAGAGTAGCATTCGTGGACTCAACCATCTTGGCTCGTGCTGGGCAAAGCTGTTGATTTAGCACCCAGGAGAGAGCAGAGTAGAGCTGAGGAAAATAATCAAATAATCAATGCATCGAGATGCGGACATAAACGATTCTGCATCGTAGAAGAGTACGCCATAATCGATTATAGTGGAATGTAGTTTTGTTTTTTTTAACGGCGGCACCTGCGCAGCACCCAAATCTGTCCGAGTGAGTGTCCTCCACATTTACCAAGTGGTTCTGCCTTAATGTGGTACTGCAGGGCTGAGCGCTGGAGTTGTAACCTGAGACAGAACCGGAACCGAATCCGCCCGACCGGTTCTGTTGGATTTTGGCCGTGAATTATGTTAATTGAGTGGGTTGTCAGCAGCGCGCTCCGCTCGCAGAGAGGGAGAGGGAGAGGGAGAGAGGGAGGGGGGGATCGGAGGAGGCACCTCCAAACACGCATTATTATTTTCATAATTTAATTATTTCTCCTCGAAGCGCTCAGTCAGACCAAGTGTTGTGATGTGAGATCCGGTCTTGGGGAAGGGGCGGGGTCAATGTCGGCGGCTGCAGCGTAATCATCTGTCTCTTATTTAGGGACACGGAGAAGTTAAAAGAGAGAGAAATAGAAGATAGAAGTTCTTGTTCCACTTTATTCTTTTGTTTCATGATGATAAACTGATGTTAAATTCAGCTTAAAAAACTGGGAGGAAGCTTTGGTTCATTTTAAGTTACAGGAGGTCTTGTCTCCTATCTGCTCCTCCAGAGACAGCATGGACATGAGGGTTACATGGTGAGGGTCACACAGGACAGGTTAGTGGAAAGGTTAGTTAGCTGGTTAGTGAAGGAGATCCATCAGCCAGGTAATTTAATCCTAATACAGCCCACAGCCTTCTGCTGGTGTTATTATCAGAAAGAATAAAACACACATCTTAAATATTATTGGACGTTTAGAATTTATTTTATGTTTTATTATTTTCTGCATCAAACAGAACTTGATTCATTCTCCAACATTTCAGAAATGAACCACTGGGTTCAAATAAAATAACAAACTAAGTCAAACATTTCATTTGCGGTTATTTCTGACACCCTTCAACTGTGGCATAAATATTTGACTCTAGAGCTGCTCAGAGACATTAAACACTCATAAATGAACCCATTATGGATTTTATTATTACATTATGTGTCCTGTAGGTTTTCAGTATTTTTTCAGATTTTTGAGTTTTTGCAAAGCGTGTTTTTCTCAACCTGAGGCGTGGTGTTGAACGAGGAAACAGAATGTTTTACTTTGTTAAATCTTCTTAAATGTTTAAAATGTTTTGTTGTGAATGGAGAGCTTTTCAGGGATGGCAGGTTGTGTCAATTACGTTTTTGATTTTAAAAAAAAGCAATTATCTGACATCTTCTATTTATCCATGAAAACAAATCAATATGAAATAATCATGATGCATTGGGATATCAAATCGAATTGAATCGTTGACCCAATAATCGTAATCGAATCGGGAGACAAGTGAAGATTCATACCTCTAAAGCGGAGTATGTCTCAGCTAGTAGAAGCTAACTGTTAAGTCACATTGCTGTTCGCCAATCAAAGGCGATATATTCAAATACTGGGAAATAAGACTCCAAATCTTGTGTTCAACTTTTATCTGGCTCACTTCTAATTCCCAAAACAGGAGCGCCACAGCTTTTTCCCCTACAGAGATCAACTCATAAGCTATTATTTTATACTAGAGACCACACCAAATGTGTTGAAATAACAAGTGGACTTGGTCTTTTAAGTTTTAAGTTATTTAAATTTGAACTGAATTAGTTTGAAGGCAAATGAATTTTCTAACGTAGCAGAGATATTATAAGTCCTTTCATCTGGAAATATAGGAGTCTTAACAACTTTATTTTTCCTTTTATAAGATCGGGTCGGCACCTGTAAAATGAAATTTGATTTTCTCTCTGTACGTGTTGGAAATGCATTTAAAGTGGTACCTACAGAGACACTGAATTTTATCTGCTGTGACATTGATTCAACTCCTTGTTTGACATTTTTCCTGCTGATTGTGCCTGTAGTGAATTTAGTTTCAGTCAGAAATGCATCTGACCGATTGCACAAGTGTTGACTTTGTGCCATTATGTTCGGCTGTTTGGGATTTACTGTAAAATGTTTTTGCTCTGTTTGATAAAGTCCCAAACCTTTGACCATATTGTTTTATTTCTCAGATTCTTCTCATCTTCCTATTCCTTCTTCCTTGATGCACAATACATTACATAACTATGATGCGCAACAGTTATAATTGTCCCTTAGAAACATGGTGACCACAGAGCAGTACTTGGTCTAAAGGATTTAACAAAGCATCAACTCAAAATTTTGGCCTTGAAGATTGTTGTGATTGAGTAAAACTATTAATTTCTTTCAGCCCTGGTTGTCAAACTGTATAATTTTATTAGTCTTATCCTCATTGTTTTCTTGAGAAAGGTTTTGAAATTTAGTAAATGCACTAAATATTTCTAAAGTCCAAACCACTTAAAAGTGACACCAGAGGCAAAATATCTTTAATTTCTGTGTTTATTGATGGTAAGTCTGTGACAGCAGGTAAACCTTTTGTTTTATTTTTTTGAACATTTTTTATATTTCAGTTTTATGTCTATATTGTCTCACTTTTCTGTTCCAGATCACTCCAACATACATGCAGACTTCCTTATGAAGACTGGTTTTCTTTCACAGCACAAGTTCTAACTGACCTTCACGATCCAATTTTCTCCTAGTTGATAATAAAAATGATCTAATAAGTTTTAATATGCCTAACTGGGGCACCTGCTGGCTGGTGCATGATGGTCAATGTATTGTTCTTCATGAGTTGTGCCCTATTTCATTTCAACTCTTCCACTGTTTACAGACATGCCCATATTTGGTCAATGTCCCGCACAAGATGACTTCTACCTGGTGATGTGCAGCCACTGTGGTCATGTCGTCAAGCCACAAGCCTTCCAAGCACATTACGGTACGTTCTATTCTATTCTATTCTATTCTATTCTATTCTATTACACTCAACACAAATACAAACGCAACACCTTTGTTTCCGCTCCGATTTTTCATGAGATGGACTTAAAGATCTAAAATTCATTCCAGATACACAATATTACCATTTTTTTCAAACATTGTTCACAAATCAGTCTAAATGTGTGATAGTGAGCACTTCTGCTTTGCTGAGATAATCCATCCCACCTCACAGGTGTGCCATATCAAGATGCTGATCTGACATCATGAGTAGTGCACAGGTGTACCTTAGACTGCCCACAATAAAAGGCCACCCTGGAATGTGCAGTTTTGTCTCACAGCAAAATGCCACAGATGCCACAAGCATTGTGGGAGTGTGCAATTGGCATGCTGACAGCAGGAATGTCAACCAGATCTAATGCTCGTGCACTGAATGTTCATTTCTCCACCATAAGCCGTCTCCAAAGGCGTTTCAGAGAATATGGCAGTACATCCAACCGGCCTCACAACCGCAGGCGACGTGTAACCACACCAGCCCAGGACCTCCACATCCAGCAGGTTCACCTCCAAGATCATCTGAGACCAGCCACTTAGACAGCTGCTGAAACAACTGGTTTGCATAACCAAACAATTTCTGCACAAACTGTCAAAAGTCGTCTCAGGGAAGCTCAACTGCATGCTCGTCATCCTCACTGGGGTCTTTACCTGACTCCAGTGTTCTCTTCACAGGTGAATCTTGGTTTACATTGTTCAGGGCAGATGGCAGACAGCGTGTGTGGTGTCGTGTGGGTGAGCGCTTTGCTGATGTCAATGTTGTGAATTGAGTGGCCCATGGTGGTGGTGGGGTTATGGTATGGGCAGGCATCTGTTATGGACGAAGAACACAGGTGCATTTTATTGATGGCATTTTGAATGCACAGAGATACCGTGATGAGATCCTGAGGCCCATTGTTGTGCCATACATCCATGAACATCACCTCATGTTTTAGCAAGATAATGCACGGCCCCATGTTGCAAGAATCTGTACACAATTCTTGGAAGCTGATAATGTTCCAGTTCTTGCATGGCCAGCATACTCACCGGACATGTCACCCGTTTGCATGTTTGGGATGTGCTTGACCGGCGTATACGACAGCGTGTACCAGTTCCCACTAATATCCAACAACTTCGCACAGCCATTGAAGAGGAGTGGACCAACATTCCACAGGCCACAATTGACAATCTGATAAACTCTATGCGAAGATGTGTTGCACTGCATGAGGCATATGGTGGTCACACCAGATACTGACCGGTTCTGAGTCCCCAGACCCCCAATAAAGCAAAAAACTGCACATTCCAACGTGGCCTTTTATTGTGGGCAGTCTAAGGTACACCTGTGCACTACCCATGATGTCAGATCAGCATCTTGATGTGGCACACCTGTGAGGTGGGATGGATTATCTCAGCAAAGCACAGATGCTCACTGTCACACATTTAGACTGATTTGTGAACAATGTTTGAGAGAAATGGTGATATTGTGTATCTGGAATGAATTTTAGATCTTTAAGTCCATCTCATGAAAAATCAGAGCAGAAACAAAGGTGTTGCATTTATATTTTTGTTGCGTGTTTATTATATTATATTATATTATATTATATTATATTATATTATATTATATTATATTATATTATATTATATAGGGATGCTCCGATCAGTTTTTTTTGCTGCAGCTCACCAATGCCAATTACTAAGAGTGTCGATCACTGATACCGATCACATGGATTGGGCATACATGGTATGATCGGCTTTGAAAGGCGTAGATCGGAATTTGCCAATCACATGTTTTTCACGGAAATCAGCACATTTTTTTTTGTTGGCCGATCAAATTGAACATCCCTAATATTGTATTAAATTACCACATTAAAAGTGTTTTTTTTAATTGTTGAATGTAAAATAGCCACTTGTCTGCAAAGTCTTCCTCATTATTGTGAGGATGAATTAAGGGTTTTCCAGAGATGCCTGCCCTCTTTTTTTGTTAACAAAACAATGCACTGTATTATTATTTTCTTATTGAGATTCAAATACTGCAAGTTCCCACAAACTATTTCTTACTAAATACTTATAACAGTGCAAGTATTTGAGACTCTGATTTCCTTTTGCAGTTGTACTAATAAACAACAACAACAAAAAAGATTTTCTTGTAAATTCAAACATAATGCATAATTTAAATGTAGACAAACTGCACTACTGCAAAGGGATTGCTTGATTTGGTTTTTCGTGCAGCCTCAAATGCTCCTTGGAGAATTAGCCTGAGGCACAAAACACTCAGTTGCATTCACAGCAAACGTGCTGCCCTTTTGTGAATTTAGTCTACAGTTGTAAAGTTCAAACAAAAAATCAGTTGTTTTATTTTTAGATCTATGTAACGCTGGATGAATTCTCAGTATTGGAGGGTATTATAAGTAGCATCTTTTTTATATTTACCTAAAAAATGTTATTTGACCTTATAATGTATGAAATTGATCACTTTGATTTAAAACACCCTTTTATTGGATGCTTTAAACTAGTGTTGTCAAAAAATTGATACCTAGATATAAATCAATACTAAAAGTGGTATCTAAATTAGATATTCCATCCCTGTGGTATCGATATTATGGACTATTATACACAGCCTTCTTCAATTACACCGACACGTACGACAGCCAGATGCCTTAAAGCAGCCTCCGCCTCCCAGACAAACAGAAGAAGAAGACGCCGCATGGCTACATTGCAAATTCCCACGCGAGTTGTCTCCAATCCAAGTTTTGTCTGCCAAATAAATAAACAAAAACATAAACAGCGAATTTGGGAGGCGCTTCACAGCCCAACTTCATTAGCATACCAAGTCCGACACGTAGTTGTATATTCACGCTTATGTGCTTAAAGGAAACTCCCGTTTATTGCAACCCGGACTTAATTTCTAGCATGCAGTACGTTTGTTTACTCACGCTGACAACTTTGGTGCTACTTGGATTCCCCGGGGTATTTAGATCCATCGGCAAATCGCCGTCAGCGTATATCCATATAACGGGTGCGGACGGGCACCCATGGTGCAGCCTCGAAGTAAGACATTATCTGCACCAAAACATCTTCATGTCGAAAGGTTTTGTTAGGAATCATTAACGTGATTCCCCTGTTCATTTGGAGCGGGTCTGGGATTTCTAGGCGTAAACAGACTAGCTGCGGCTAATCAAACCGGCGCTTTTAATGACGTCACTGCCGTGCGCCAGTCTGTTTTTATTAAGATTACCGGTAGATGTACCTTTGTCCTACTGTGGAGAAATTCGTTTTCTCCCTTTATTGACCAACAGAGTTGTTCAAAAGTACAGAACAAAACATATGGCATTACATCTTATGACAAAAATGCACCTTAAACAGAGTTTAAGCAGCAAAACATCACTCTGCAAATAGTGTATATATAGTGAGACAATTCATGATTTAAAGTGTTAACTTTCACCAGTTTTTGTATGCACGTTTTAAAAAATGCTGATACTTGAAAGGTTTAAGCACTTAATACACTTAATTCTTAACATTTAATTTTTGCAATATAAATTGAGGAATAGGGATGGGTACCTTTGACATTTGAATCGATCCGGTACTAATTCCCGGTACCTACGAGTCGATACCGGTACTTAACGGTACCAATTTTCGATACTTTTGAGTGTTTATTATTTTAATTCTCTTTTATAATTAAATATATATTTTTCTCAATATATAATCATATTTGATAAATATCACGATAAATAACATACAAGTTTGTATTTTAACATCGTCCTTGTAGTTTTATAAGCTGATAATTAAACTGAAGCAAACATCTTTACTGTGAACTAAATTTACTGTGTATCTTCATTCCTTTTGCCGTCCTTTTTCAATTGATTTTTCCTACTGGGAAGTTAGAATTTCCGAGGAGAAAGCGAACGCACCATTAGCTGATAACAACGGTGGCAATGGAAGCTAACATATCAAACTAACGTTATCTTTAACAGTTTATTTAGCTGCTGGAGCAGATTAAAACGATGATGCCTCAAACTTAGATCGTTGTCACTGGTTTTACCTTCACCCAATCACCCGTCGCATTTAGTAAAGTAAAGCCAAACTTTAGAGCGCGTTCATGTTCTTCTAGTCAGAAATTCGGAGTTCCGAGGAGAAAGCGAACGCACCATTAGCGAAACGGAAGCTAACAAATCAAGGTAACGTTATCTTAAACATTTTATTTACCTACTGGAGCAGACTAAGATGAGGATGTCTTACTTAGATCGTTGTCTGTCGCTAGTTTCATCACCCAGTTACCCATCACATTTAGTGAAGTGGACCCAAGCTTTAGCGTGCGTTCTTTCTACCATGCTGCTCTGTTTACAACGGGCTCGCAGGGACCGGCGACATAACGCTCTTGCGCATGCGCAACTGTCTTGGCAGTACCGAAACGAGGCACCGTTTGAAATGACGTGAATCGGTGTTCGGTCGGTACTATGGAATTCGGTCGGTACCTTAAAAAGTACCGAATTCGGTACTCATCCCTATTGAGGAATGTTATTTTTTGAATAAACTTGTTCGTTAAATGGGTGTTTTTAAATAGTACCGAAATCGAGTATCGAGTTTTTTTTTCAAGTATCGAATTGAATGAAATTTTAGTATCATGACAACCCTACTTTAAACTCTTCATGCAGAGTGGGGAAATCAGAAGATAAATAAGTTTTTAGTTTGAACCAGACAGCTGCACTATAAAGCTGTCAGCGTTTAATTTGTGTTCTAGTTTTTACAATAGCATTTAAAAAAAAAACTTTTTATAACATTAAATATGTAAATATTGATAATACATCAAAACTTGTAACTTGTTTTTGTCTACTTTTCCTCATCATGCCACTCATGTTTGGTCATTTTTGACCTTTTTAAATTCGTCCCAGTGCTGTAGAGTTTTTCCATATTCCAGTCTAATCCAGTCAGATTTTTAACAGCATTGTGGATGGGATGTGTGCATATGCACAT